GCAATACCGTCTTTACCATAAGGGCGCACGGGGCCCGTGCCCAGGGCCCCCATTCTCAGGGGGCCCCGAAAGACCGACAATTTCTCTCACACGTTTATTCTCAAAACATTTTTGTCGGGCACATTACACTTTTTTCACAAATCAGTAATCAGAAAGTATTTACAAGACATATACTATGCCTGTAATAGAAGATTTTGCTCAACAGAAATCCCGAAAGAAACTGTTATCGAAATCGTAACCAAAAAACCAGTCTAATTGTATTATCTAATATCATCAATTCTAATATCATTAATAATATATTATATTATACTGTATTTGAATAAGTATAATAAATGGTCATACCCAGTTTTTTTTAATTATAATTCCCTTTTTTTATTTTCCAAAAGGGCCTCAAATTCTTGTGTGCCCAAGGGCCCCATCCTAGTTTAAGACGTCCCTGCCTGTTCGTAATTAAATATAATTTTTGGGTGTAAAATACTTTGTTCAGGGGTAAAATACCTTCATCACGTTAATTAAAAAGCTAAAAAGCTTGCTTATTTCCGGCAGTTTCACGTAGGTTGTTCAATTATTTATTTAACCTCGTTTAATCAAAATTGAAACCGCAAAAGTTCGAAGTCAGCGTAATATCTGGTTGAAGGGTTTGTTGCGGGCCTGCCCGGCTGAGTCCCGGGATCCTGCCTGCTTCTGTCACGAAGCAGTAATGCATTTCGATTCGAATAATTAGATGACATTGAAATTATACAACCATAAGAGATGATTGAGAGAGATACAATGAGTAAGCGGGTTCAAATCCGTTGCAAAATCGCTGGCCTGCTGTAAATACAAAATTTCTTTTTTGTCTGTGCAGTAAATACTATTAAAAATAATTTGTCTGACGGTATTATGATCGACCATCTGTCCGGAGCGGGCTCTCGTCATGCCGACATGAGTTCTTAAGGTCTCAGTTTTAACAGTATAACGGCTGCCTTACCTTTCAAACCGAAATGCATTACTGCTTCACAGCCGAAATAGGCAGGGTGGTGGTACCTACCCGTGCGGACTCACAAACAAACTGAAACAAATGTAAGCAACACGTTTTGAGGATATCGGCTCAACTATATATGCTTTTTACTGGTGGTAGGACCTGTTGTGAGGCCGCGCGGGTAGGTACCACCACCCTGCCTATTTTCGCCGTGAAGCAGTAATGCGTTTCGGTTTGAAGGATGGGGCAGCCGTTGCAACTATACTGAGACCTTAGAACTTATATCTCAAGGTGGGTGGCGCATTTACGTTGTAGATGTCTATGGGCTCCAGTAACCACTTAATATCAGGTGGGCTGTGGGCTCGTCCACCCATCTAAGCAATAAAAAAAAAGACGTCCTACCACCAGTAAAGTCCAGTAAATTGCAGTGCGAGTTTTATCTTACTTTCAGATTTCTATTTTGGATAGAGGTCTGGCTTTAAAGACAATTATTTACTCTCGTATATAAAAACCTATCATTTTAGATACATCACTAGCTGACCCGGCAAACGTTGTTTTGCCATATATAAGATTTCTAGGGAATTTCTAGTGTAGAAAAAAAAACTAACTTATTGTAAGTGTGTAAGGATGTGGTAAATGAGTGAAAGATGAGGGAATATATAATAAAAATAACAAAACCTCATTCAACCACATAATACCTCATTATAACAAAAAAAAATGTCCAAATAAAAAAAATATGTTAGGCGTGGACAACCCTAATCACTTAGGGGTATGAAAAATAGATAGTAGCCGATTCTCAGGCTTACTGAATATGCATAAAAAATTTCATGAGAATCGGTCAAGCGGTTTCGGAGGAGTATGGGAACGAACATTGTGACACGAGAATTTTATATATTAGATATCCCCAATAAACGTAAGATTACACATTGCAAACATACATATATTGAGTTGTTAGGTACTAAAGAACTAGTACGTACCGACGAAATATGTTTGTCACGAACGAATGACTTCGCAAGTTGTAACTCGTGTATATACACATTATTGGATTCATATTCTGATTTCTGAGAGTTCTTTGTGTATAATTAATTTTATTTTTATTATTAATTTACTGGTGGTAGGACCTGTTGTGAGTCCGCGCGGGTAGGTACCACCGCCCTGCCTATTTCTGCCGTGAAGCAGTAATGCGTTTCGGTTTGAAGGGTGGCGCAGCCGTTGTAACTATACTGAGACCTTACAACTTATATCTCAAGGTGGGTGGCGCATTTACGTTGTAGATGTCTATGGGCTCCAGTAACCACTTAACACCAGGTGGGCTGTGAGCTCGTCCACCCATCTAAGCAATAAAAATTACAAAGTACTATAGCGTAGTACTACTTAGTACTAGTACTGTTCATTGACCGAAATTAATTCAATCGATTTTTAAATTATTGTATTAAAATCGCTGTCTTTTTTAATTTTAAAATGAAAAATAATCTTCTTCTTCTCTATATATAAAAATGAATTGCTGTTCGTTAGTCTCGCTAAAACTCTAGAACGGCTGGACCGATTTGGTTAATTTTGGTCTTGAATTACTTGTCGAAGTCCAGAGAAGGTTTAAAAGATAGAAAAATATAAATATGGACGGAATTAAATAAAAATAACGATTTTGTTTTTCCTTTGATGTGTCCCCCGTCGGACGGGTTTCTTTTGTTTGTTTTATTTAAAAGTTTAGATCTTTTATTTACCGATTGCAGTACTACGAAGTCTACCGGGGCAGCTAGTAATTACTAAAAAATTGAGACGCTTATAATCGTACCAAATTAAAACTTTCTACTTCTAATCTTAGATGGTTGAACGAGCTCACGGCCCTTCCGGTCTTAAGTGGTTACCGGAGACCATAGACGTCGATAACGTAAATGCCCACCACCTTGAAACATGATCTCTAAGTCTGAGTTTCACAAAACAATGGCTGCCTCACCCTTCAACCCGAAACTCATTACTGCTTCACGGTAAAAATAAGCAGGGTGGTGGTACCTACCCGTGTGGGCTCACATGACACTTGACCACCACTATCTATGCGGCCAATCAATCAACCAAAGACAATTGAGAATCAAAATTCTATAAAGAGAATTAAACTAAAAATTGCCTATTTTGTAGTCGCGACTTCAAAAAATATATTATGAATACCATCAGTTGTATTTGTCTTCGGGAATGATGTAAGGGATCTCTGATGTGCTGCTATATAAAATACGTCGAAATGATGACGTCATATAAAGTTGTACGTAGTAAATTGCATACGTAGTAAGTAAAAATTTTAGAATCTTTAAAATCTTAAAAATCTTCTTTAGAATTTTAAATTTAAAACTTCAACAGTTTCATTTAATCTCATTCTTTTAGAAGAGAATTTTGTCTGAACGAATCTTATTTGATGACTCCGATTACGTACTCGCATTCATTAAAACATGAAAAAAAATACGGCCTATTTTAAATCGATCCAAACGGACGTGCCTCTGCATGAGAAAGGAATGTTTCTGCAAAGGGATTAGTTTTAAAAATCCTTCGCGAGCGGCGAAACGGCGTCTAGTTTAAAAGCGACAGCGGATTTCGTGTTCTGAGTGTTCCGAGGCGGGCACAATCTTGGCTGATGCGGTCCTAACTACTGCGAAGAGATGGCATTCGCTAGTTTCGCTCTAGAGATGTGGTGCCGGAGAAGAATGCTCCGGGTCTCGTGGACTGGGTTTTGAATGAACACTTCAAGCAGCGTCTGTTTTGAACAGTACCGTCTACAGGATGGTAGCTTTCTTCGGACATTTCTTTTTTTTATTATGATATTTTTATTGTCCTGGTAGGCAGACGAGTATACGGCCCACCTGATGGTGAGTGGTTACCGTCGCCCATGGACTTCAGCAATGCCAGGGGCAAATTATAATTTTACGGGTTTGATTTTTATTACACGATGTTATTCCTTCACCGTGGGAATCAATCGTGAAGATCTCTTAAGTATGTACGTATTTCATTAGAAAAATTGGTACCCGCCTGTGGGATTCGAACACCGTTGCATCGCTACATACGAATGCACCGGACGGAGGTCTTATCCTTTAGGCCACGACGAATATAAATTTCTATTTTCTTCTTATACGATTCCTTCGTTGTAGAAGTAGTAGTTCGTATTTACTTAGAAACATTGGTACTTGACGTAGAGTTTAAACACTGGCGTAGTCAAATAATTTGAAGTTATAATAAGGTGTGTGTTCCCAGTTAAGCCACGAACGCTTAAAGTCTATCTACTTTTTTTTTATTGATTAGATGGATGGAAGAGCTCACGGCCCGCCTAGTGGTTATTGGAGTCCATAGACAACGTAAATGCCGCCACCGACCTTGAGACATGAGTTCTAAGGTCTCAGTACAGTTACAACGGCTGTACCACCCTTCGAACCGAAACGCATTACTGCTTCACGGCAGAAATAGGCAGGATGGTGGTACCTACCCGTGCGGACTCACAAGACATCCTACCACCAGTAATTACGCAAATTATAATTTTGCGGGTTTGATTTTTAATTGGGGCTACTTATACGCTGTGGTTATTATTGTTACACGCTGGGGTTCGGGATAAATAAAATTCTACCGAAGTATAAATTAGAACTGTATTAGCACTTAGAACACTCACAGAACACTTTAAATTCTTAATTCACTTCTTCCGCTTCGCTTCAGGTGACCCGTTCGCTGATTCGCTTCGAGTAGTTCTGATTACAAACTGACTGCATGTCATCTCTGCAACGCTTTTATAGTCGATACGACATCCCTAGAACCATCGAGAACATTCCTCACAAGTCGAGTATTTTCAATGTGTGTTTCCGCTATCTGACAATAGATAGCGTTGTACATCTCGAGCATTCTAGATGTTACTAGATCATTTGATATTCGTTTTGGCTATTCGGCGATAGATGGCGTTACTCTTTCCGGTGTAACATTTTTTAGCATCGAGTAGAGCGAGACCTACTTATTCTTCATAATTACGATCGGCTCTTGTCCTTGGTCAATGATGCGAAATTGTTCTCAGGTCCACTCATACCAGTAAGCCGGGCAGCCCAGGCACTTTGAACGGTGTCAACGGCAGTGTCCATGGAGAAGCAAGACAAGCGCAGTCCAAGAAAACCATCATCAGAATGTTGGGTAAGCAAAAAAAATCGCTCTATTATTCTTAAACAGTTGAATAGACCTTTTACAGAACAAAAAAGCGTTTATTTGCCCAAATTTCAATGAATTCGTTTGCGAATACAAGTGTTTCTTTCCCGGGCAATTACCTGACTATTCTATTCAGACTATTCAGAAGATTGAAGAACAATGCTAAAGCAGCGCTCCTTAATTGATTCGTTTACAACAATCAGCATTGAATTTTTATGTGCCACAATTGAAACTACTTTTAGGATTGAATTTCTCGTATTTAATGCCATTGTAAGCGGTAGGAAGCGGCTTGGCTCTGCCCCTAGCATTGCTGAAGTCGATGGGCGACGGTAACCACCTACCATCAAGTGGGCCGTATGCTCGTCTGCCTACAAGGGCAATAAAAATATATATATAGATATATATTGTAACTTTACTTGAGACCTTAGAACTTATATCTCAAGGTGGGTGGCGTTTACGTTGTGGATGTCTGTGGGCTCCAGTAACCACTTAACTCCAGGAGGGCTGTGAGCTCGTCCACCTATCTAAGCAATAAAAAAAAAGATATATATTACTTCTGGCGTTTCTAACACGTGACAGTTGTACACAAACACAATAAAAAAATTGAAGCCGTAAGATATCAGGTAGAATGTAGTGAAGATGTTTGACATCGAGAGTCGAAGGAAGCTTTACGCGGCACAAAATACAGATGGAACTGAGGCACGTCTCTCCGAAAGTACCAACCTAGAATGAACAGTATATCACCCAGTGTCGAGTAGTATATACCTGATCCTCCCAGAGACAGAACTTGGAAAGGGCAAAGAGTACCCTCAGAGTAATTGAAGGTTACCTTACCCAAAAAGTAACTCATCCATACAAATTCCACCACACAGGACATTGTGATGCCTGGTCTTGATTACGATATCAAATACAAAAAAATACTATACATAGAATAGGTAAAATACTATACATAAATTCGCGGGTAGGTGTGGAAAAGAAAACAAGCGTTCTCAAGTCGAAAAGTGAATTTTATTCAATTTAATAATATTTTTGACATTTTTTTTAACAATTCTTTAAAACTAAACATAAGAAGACCACACAAATGTTTGTGACAGTTTTTATGGAAGCTAAGTTTTAATAATTAGCTACCTGCCAGTTTCTGCACACTCATAAGTTGTGAGGTTGGAATTGAAGGATTAAGCAACATGTCACAGCTGGCTACAATAGAAGCAGCACAAGCTACTCTCGAAGAATGTTTCTCAAGAAGAATGGCTGACCTTGAAGCACAACTCAACAATACTGCCCCTGCAAAGGAAACTATTTCAAAAATTTCTGAAGAATTTAGGACATTCAGAGAGCTAGTTTTCTCAATGCTTCATCTTCTCCGGCAACAAATCAATGAATGTTCCCAAATGGTAGATATTATTGAGACCAGACACAGAAGAAAAGCTATCATCTTTATGGGCATTCCAGAAGTCGAAAAAGAAGACTGTAATAAAATTGTTCTAGATATTACACATAAGCAGTTGGAACTGAAAGGTATTTCTGCTTCAGATATAAATGTATGTCATAGGATCGGCTCACAAAATAAAGATCATCATCGTCCAATCCTGGTAAGGTTTTCCAGTTTAGATACCAAGATAGGTGTGTGGAGGGCTAAGTCTAAATTAAAAGGTTCACCCATCTCAGTCAAGGAGTTTTTGACCAAAACCAGGCAGATCATTTTTAGCAAAGGTCGGCAGCATTTTGGAATGCATGCTTGCTGGACTCAAGATGCTAAAATCATAATCAAGTTACCCGATGGAAGTAGGCAGAAACTTACTACGATGGACGACTTGAATCGCCTAATTTCCAGATACCCCAAAATTATAAAAGAACCTTCGGCAGCTAAAAGCATTGTGAGCGATACAGTGAAAACAAAGAGCACAACCACAAGACTTCGAAAGCATTAGTGTATTTGTTATAGTATGTGTGAAAGTGTCTATCCCACTGTACCTACATACATTGTTATTTTCTTAAAATAACAATGTATATATGTTTAGTTATTGTAATGCCATTATTTCGTAACGATCGAAATTTAAATTGCATTTTTCAATTTTATTTTAATTTGTAATTATTATTTTTATTGCTTCTTCCTTCAATTTTTGCCTTACCCACCATACAGTTTGTTTTTAGTTTTCAATCATATGCAAAGTAATAATTAATGTAATCACTGATTTGCGGTGCATTGGTTGTGTACTTAGTGTTTTAATTTATAATCATCATTATTGTTATTGTTGTTAATATTATATATAAACTATGTACTATTTTTAATAACATCATTTTTGTAATAATGCATAGCTAAGCACTAACGTCAGATCATGTTGTCAGATTGGCGTCTGACACCTAGTCTGTCAAATTGACATTGATGCGGCTTAGTGAATCACAGAGTAAATATTAATGTAACTTAATTTGCATTCCATTTTACTCAAAGTTCTAAGTTTTCTTTTGTTTTTTTTTTATTCTAATATTTTCTTGCTTTATTTTGTACATATCATTGTTGTTATAGTTTGTTATAATTTTTTTTGTTTTGATTTTGTGTGCTGAAAATAATCTGTATTGTTATTTTTATTTTTATTTTTATTATGTATACGGTGTGTATTGGCTGGCGGGTGGTGCAGAGAAATCAGCTTTTTGTTTTTGAACTCATTGCATTTGCTTTAAGTTATCAATAACTTTTATAAAATTTGTTTTCTATATAGGATAATAGTATATATATTTAAATTGTGCATTGTATTTGTATTGCATTGATTAATTTATGAGTAATTCATGTGACGACCTTTATCTTTCTGCCAATGAATCTCTTTCTCCTGTTTCTTCGTTAAATGAGGATAGTTTTTGTTCAGTAACTGGTACTCTTGGTGACTGTGTACGACGATGTTTTAGCAAAAATTCGGGCCTACTAAATTTATGTCACATTAATGCGCAAAGTGTGCCCAGTCATTATAATGAAATTCTGGAAAGTTTTGATAATACTGACGTTCATGCTGTGCTGATATCCGAGAGCTGGCTAAAGCCTCATCTTCTTTCCACTAGTTATCCTCTTCCTGGTTTCGATTTGATTCGGAATGATCGTGTTGATAGGAGAGGCGGCGGCGTTGCTATCTACCTTCGCAGTGTTTTTTCTTATAAAATCCTCGACTGTTCTCCACCAAACTGTTCAACCTCTGCTGAGTTTCTTTTTTTGGAAGTTTCCGTTAAGGGAGTTAAATTAGTGCTGGGTGTTGTTTATTGTCCTCCCACTGTAGATTACTTCTCCAGTCTCGAACCAATTCTGGAATCCTTAGGCTCAAAATATTCACATCACGTCATTATGGGAGATTTCAACACCGACCTTGCAGTTCATTCACCTCGATCCTGTAAACTCTTGGCTATCGTCGAATCTGCTAATCTTCAAGTCCTGCCTCTACAAGCCACTCATTGGAACAGTGATGGGAAAGATACCTGGCTTGATCTAATTCTTACTTCCTCTCCCACCCTTGTATCATCTCATGGTCAATATCCCGCACCTGGCTTCTCTCATCATGACCTCATTTTCCTCTCTTACTCCTTAAGTCCTCCGAAGTCCCAACCTAGGCTTATGAGCATACGTAGTTTCAAACGCTTAAATTTAGATCAGTTGCAAAAGGATGCGTCAGAATTAAAATGGGATGATTTCATGGCTACACCTTCTATAGATGATAAAGTGCGTATTTTTAATGAAACTATCCTTAACTTGTATGATATCCATGCGCCTGTTAGGAAGGTGAAGATGAAGCGTCCTCCAGCTCCATGGATAACGAGAGGTGTGCGTATGTATATGCGGCGTAGAGATAGAGCTTTTCGTAAATTCCGGAGGGACCGATGCGATGACAATTGGGCTTCTTATAAAATTGCGAGAAACCGGTGTAACCAGGTGATACGAAATGCTAAACGCCGCTACTTTCTACATAATATATCGTCTTCTTCAGTTGCTAATATCTGGAAGTTCCTCGGAACTCTAGGTATTGGCAAACAACGTCAATACAGCTTTCAGTCGGCAATTGGACTGGATGATATCAATGCGCACTTTACTACAAGTATCCCGTTGGATTACCAGTCTACGCGCCGTACTGTGGAGTTTCTGGAAGGACTATCCCCTCCAAATATCGACCCCTTTAAATTTTCCACGGTATCTATGGGTGAGATCAAAAAGATAATCCTCTCTATAAGATCCAATGCTGTGGGTCACGACGGAGTGAGCCGCCAGATGATAGTTCTGATTCTCGATTGTCTTCTTCCATCGTTACAACATTTAATCAATTCATCTTTGTCCTCTGGTACTTTTCCTGTACAGTGGCGCAAAGCATTTGTGATTCCCTTACCCAAAGTCTCTAATCCGACTCTTCCTACTCATTTCCGTCCCATATCGATTCTCCCTTTTCTGTCCAAGGTGTTGGAGGCCTGTGTACATAACCAACTGTCCCAGTTTGTTCATAAGAATGGTTTAATAAACTCCCTACAGTCTGGCTTCAGACCGGGCCACAGCACCATCTCCGCTCTCCTCAAAGTGACAGGCGATATTAGGGCTGGAATGGAGGATACTAAAGTCACATTGTTGGCTTTGGTCGACTTCTCTAATGCCTTTAATACCGTCAGTCACGAAATCCTTTTATCTATCCTGTCCTATCTTATGATTTCGCCTGAGGTGCTGAAATGGTTTACATCATATCTTCGAGGGCGCCAGCAATCGGTCCGCATTGATGAGTCTTCGTCTTCATGGCGTGATCTAGATACTGGTGTCCCTCAAGGCGGAATTCTTTCCCCTTTGCTTTTCTCTCTCTTTATCAATCTCATAACTCAGTCCCTTCAGTGTTCGTATCACCTGTACGCTGACGACCTACAGCTGTACTCGCAGGCTACTGTGGACTGTGTGTCTGAAGCGGTTCGCAGAGTGAATGGGGATCTAGAGGCTATATGCGATTGGTCTGGTAGGTTTGGTTTGACGGTCAATCCAACCAAATGTCAGGCGATTATTATTGGTAGTCCCCGTTTGTTGGGACGATTAGATTTTAGCTCACTCCCACCCGTAACTTATAATGGAGCAATTATACCTCTGAGCCCATCAGTCAAAAACCTTGGACTGTATATGGATTCTAGACTTGACTGGGCGGTACAGGTGTTGAATGTTAGTCGAAAGGTTACTGGATCTCTGCGTGCCCTTTATCGCTTCAAGAACTTTCTCCCTTTCAAGATAAAGTTGATGCTTGTTCAAGCTTTAATCCTGCCCATAATTGACTATGGCGATGTATGCTATCTTGACCTGAATGCAGACCTTTTGAACAAACTCGACCGCCTTCTCAACAACTGCATTCGTTTCATTTTTAATCTTCGCAAGTATGACCACGTGTCTACTTACCGCTCCGAAATAAATTTTCTTCCTATACGCGAGCGCCGCAATCTACATGCTCTTACTGCGCTTCATTCTATACTAACATGCCCAACTCCTCCCTCCTATCTGACTCAGTACTTTAAATATTTACATTCTTCGCACGATAAGGACTTGCGTTCCTCTAATAATTTACTCCTTCACTGTCCCACGCACAACTCTAGTTTAGTCCGTTCGTCTTTCGTAGTTCAATCTGTTCAACTTTGGAATTCACTTCCTCTTAATGTTAGGATGATCACTGATCGCCTAACTTTCAAAATAAAGGTACGCCAACTTTTTCTGGAGAAACTTAAAAACTTAAAAACTTAACAATTTGACTTGCAATGTGTGTTCTGTGCAATATACTATTTTCTTGTACTATATATATATGTATATGTGGTTCTGTTTCTTTGTTATATTTTTAAGTTGTGTTTTAGTGTGTATATGAATATGTATGTGAATATGTGTGTATATGATAGAGATTATATATAGATATATGTGTAAATTTTATATTATTATCATGATATAAAATTGTGTACGTTGTTTGTGTGATTATATATATATATATATATACTGTGTATGTGTTTGTATATTGTATAATGTAGTTTGGTTGTTTCACATTAAGTTATGCACCTACCACAGGATTCTCTACACCACCCTTGGTTGACTGGTAGAGAATGCCTCAGGCATTAAGTCCGCCATTGTACTTATGTGCATTAAGTTGAATAAATAAATAAATAAATAGGTAGCTAATAAATACTAAAATGAAACAAAATCGGCAGAGTCGTGCTTTTGTTAAAAAAAATACATGCTATGCTAATTATCATAGGATGAGGAATCCGTCAAAAACTGGAATCGTACAAAAAAGAACACTCAAGATAATCTTGATTATATTGTCCCGAATACACAGATTAAGTTCCGAAATTGTCCCGAATAAATAGATTAACGATCCACTGCAGCAGTCTTCCTTATGTCATTTCCTATTATATACATTAATTAAAAAGACGAAATATCTATTCCGAAATTTGAATGACATCTTTTTTTTAAAATAATATTTCTATTTATTATTTCACATTAATAATATTAATCTTTCAATTATTATTCTTACCACCACGCAGCGTTAAATATCAGAAGCGACTTCCAACTTCATACTGCTGTGAGCGGGGGATAAACCTCATTTTAAATCGAGATTACACTGCGCCTTAATTCTAAGTAGACAAAAAAAGACAAACATAAATCTTACCTCTTTAGTACATAAAAAGGCACAAGTAGCAACCCTAGAATCCTCTTAATTAAGAGGGCTGTTTGATGTCTCTGATTCCGAAACACACCCCAACTTGACAATACGAATACCACCCCCCATAAGGATTATCCATTTGTGGAATAACATCGCGGTCATACGGCGGAAGGGTCAAATTATATATTTTGTGTTGTCGAGATAAGGCATTGTAAACAATCTCTTTGTATGTTCTCTCAGAAAGCTCTCATCTTGTGGGCTTAATTGTCTAACGCTTTAGAGATTGTTATTAGGATCAGAAAAAAGAGCTCACGTAAGTGTGCTCACGGGGCTCTAACCGATTTGGTAACTCTATCCCTAGCAAGACCAGTGCTTCACAGAATCTCGCCGGATCGGAATCGTGATCCACTGAGAAGGTCCGGCGAGAAACTCAACGGGCATAATAATTCAAATCGCAGTCGCAAATTTATGCGTATTTTAATCCTAATCTATAACCGTATATTAGAGGAAGTGTGAAAGTAGCCCCGGTAAGCAACAAATTAAAGAGCGGACGGTTAGCGTGGTATGGACATGTGATGCGTAGAGAGAAGATACACGTGACTAGGAGATGTATGGAAATGGTAGTGCAAGGTAGAGGAGGATGAGGTCGACCGAAGAAGAAATGGATGGAGTGTGTGAATGACGATATGAGAGAGAGAGGAGTGAGTGTTGAGATGACGGCTGATAGAAAAGAATGGAAGAGAAAAATTAGCTGTGCCGATCCCACCTAGTGGGATGAGGTGGAGAAAAAGAAGAAGAAGAACTATAGCTGTCACGAAAAAGTCACGCTTTCCGGCTTAGAGAATAAGACAACCGCTATATTATAATATAATTAAGACTACAACCCCATATCTCTAGGTGACTGGCGATATCATGTTGTGATTTCTGTGTTCTAAGCTCGGTGATATAAATTTCCATACCGTCAATTTCCATAGATATCGCTATGATGTCAACAAATTTAAACCACTCTACTCAGCAAACTTATGAAAGGCCACTAGCTTTGTCAACTCAAGTCTCGACAAATTCGTGTGTCGGGGATGTTTGCGAATGCGCGAATAGATAGCTTCGCAGCAATCATTCGTTAACGAATTGCTTCCCTGGTTCGCCGCGTGCGGGTCAGTCGCAATAGTTACCTGCGCCTGTTTGCCTCGCGGATGGATCTGGACTGCCCAATAATGGATGGATAATAACTGGATACGTGTTTACTGGTGGTAGGACCCCTCGTGAGTCCGCACGGGTAGGTACCATCGTTCCGCCTATTTCTGCCGTGAAGCAGTAATGCGTTTCGGTTTGAAGGGCGGGGCAGCCGTTGTAACTGTACTGAGATCTTAGAACTTATATCTCAAGGTGTGTGGCGCATTTACGTTGTAGATGTCTATGGGCTCCAGTAACCACTTAACACCAGGTGGGCTGTGAGCTCGTCCACTCATCTATGGAATAAAAATAAATAAATAAAAACGTGTGCATGTTGAGCACTCTGGATCCAAACCTTTTAGGTTAAGGTAGTTTTGATGTTAATATTAAGTTTTTGTTTTATTCCGAGATTGTAGTTTTGTTTTTATATAATTCTGTTAAAGTATATGAAATGTTAATAATTGTAATATGAATGCAAAATCTGTAATAAACGAAAAAAAATATTGCCCAAAGTGAATACAGAAAAGTTAAAATAGGCAAGGTATTCGCCTGTGCTAGCTCACTACAGGCCCAACAATTAGTAAGGATCGTCATCCAACCTCGAGTGTCGAATAACCGGATTCCGAGCCGGCCCAATAGAAACAGCTGTTTAAGACTTACTAGATGATGATCGAGCTTTGCTCGGTTTTTTTTTGATAAGCCATCTTGTTGTGTCTTTAAAGCGGTTAGTTGCCCTCAATTAAAAAAAATAGTATTATTATTCGCCAATAGATGTCGGGAAGAGTTGATTATTGAAAACACGAATAAAACAACATTTTCTGAAAATACATCGTAGCTAGATCGATTTATCGCCCCCGAAATCCCCTGTATAGTAAATTTTATGAAAATCGTTATATATATATATATATACAAGAATTGCTCGTTTAAAGGTATAAGATAAGATAAAAATCATCACTATTTAAGTCCTCTTCATTTCCCTAGCGGCAGTGGTTATCGCGTTCTTCGTCTGCTGGGCTCCGTTCCATTTCCAGAGGCTGTTCTACATCTACGGCACCGGCGCCTCTCATTACCACATCATCAACGAATACCTGTTTTACGTGGCCGGTGCTTTTTATTACGTCTCTGCTACCGTCAATCCGATCTTATACAACGTGATGAGCCATAGGTGAGTTTACGGGAAATTGTTTGCTAAGTTTTTTTTTTATTGCTTAGATTGTTGGACGAGCTCACAGCCCACCTGGTGTTAAGTCGTTACTGGAGCCCATAGACATCTACAACGTAAATGCGCCACCCACTTTGAGATATAAGATTTAAGATCTCAGTATAGTTACAACAGCTGCCCTACCCTTCAAACCATACGCATAACGGGTCCATAATAATGTATGGTGCGCGATATTGTTGTGCTATGAGCTATATACTATACGCTATTATATGAGGCCTGCGCCACAGACACATTAACTTTTTTAGAGTCGTGTCAATAAATCACTGTGATTCCAAAGAAAAGCCCAACTGAAATAAATATTTGATATAGTTACTGCTTCACAATCCGCACATTTTCAAGGAATTGTTTATTTATGTAGGTATCGTTGAATATTCTATTAGTTTTGCTATGTGAATTTGTTTAAATCATTTCGTATCTGTATTTCACATGTGAGTTTCAATGTGGTTTTTTTTTACAGTTTTCCACGTCTTTTCCATTGGCACATAATCTACATTTTTTTTTTATTGCTTAGATGAGTGGACGAGCTCACAGCCCACCTGGTGTTAAGTGGTTACTGGAGCCCACAGACAACTACAACGTAAATGTGCCACTCATCTTGAGATATAAGTTCTAAGGTCTCAAGTATAGTTACAACGGCTGTCCCACCCTTGAAACCGAAACGCATTACTGCTTCACGGCAGAGATAGGCGGGGTGGTGGTACCTACCCGTGTGGACTCATAAGAGGTCCTACCACCAGTAACGCACAGTGAATTCAAAAAACCCATTACTGAACATCACCCCTCTGTTTCAGATACCGAATAGCCTTTAAAGAGACTCTCTTCTGCAAGAAAGCGACTCGGATAAGGAGCAAATACATCGAACAGTCCAGTACCAGGGAGACAGTGGTGCACAACGGTAGGAGGACCAGATCGAAATACCGGAATGAGAGGAAAAACTGCAGCTATTACGTCACCGAAACCAGCCTTTGCAGCGAGTGGAAGAAAGACTTCTACCAGCAGAAGAAGATGCATGTTTTGTACAAGGAAAGGTCCGGCTCGGAATTGTGCAGTGAAAATGAAGCTAGTCAACTCATGTTTGGATATTTGCCTGGAGAGGAGAATGATGACACTTAAATATTATATTGGGGAGGGAAGTAAGATTAATGTCACCAGTGTAGGGTTGCGATCTTAAAAAAATATTGGTCACTACACAAGGGGGTCGCGGGTTCGAATCCCGCCAAGGGAAGATATTTGTATGATAAATATAAAATGTCTTTTCCAGGGTTATGGATGTATATTAAATATATGTATGTGTAAAATAAAAATCTTACATTTATTTCCGTTATCTGGTACCTGTAAACACAAGTTCTTTACGAACTTCTCACGGGACCAGCTAACGTGGCGTGATTGTTAGTTAATATTTATTTATTTATTTAAATATTACTTTAGGTCCGAAGATGCTGAGTTTAGTTCGTCGAAAAATGATAAACTTTAACACTATTTGAGTTCTTAATTCATGATTGTTTTACTACAATGCATTCAGATCGGAGTTTTCTCAACGCTCGTACGAAGAGATCATAAACTTCTAAATACAAAATGACTATGTGTAGCCGTAGATCTAAAGGGGATAAAAAAATTTATTGCTTAGATGTATGGACGAGCTCACAGCCCACCTGCTGCTAAGTGGTTACTGGAGCCCATAGACATCTATGACGTAAATGCACCACACACCTTGAGATATAGTTATAAGGTCTCAGTATAGTCACAACGGCTGCCCCACCCTTCAAACCGAAACGCATTACTGCTTCACGACAGAAATAGGCGGGGCGGTGGTACCTACCCGTACGGACTCACAAGAGGTCCTACCACCAGTAATGAATTCTTACAACTGAATATACATGTCAATAAATCGAATTGGCGCGTTTGTTACAATATAGTTTGGAGGTATACGACCAAGGTAAGATGTTCCACTGAGCCGGTGATATTGCTCGGTAGACCGACGGTCCGAATGTTTTTTTTATGGTTGAAGGATTACTGGTGGCCCGGAGGCCTTTCCAGTTTCACCAGGACAGGTGGGCGAGCAAAGGCTCAGCCAGGAGGGGTGGGGTTTGCTAACAGCTGCCCGAGCGCCTCCGAAGGAGACCTATCAACTCAAGAGCAACTGCATCGCGAATGTTGTTGTTCGGAACTTGTATATATGTAAGCTTATCTTGAAAATGTCGTAAGCGAGTTTCTGGTATCTGTCGACTATCTTGTGTTGTATGTTGACTACCCGCCACAGTAGAAACCGGCTACTCAATGGTATTTCTATATTAATAAACTTCTAAACATAAATATGTCTACATTAAAATAAATACGTTATGAAAAATTATGGCGATAGTTCCGTTGAAAGGAACAAAAAATATATCGAGTAGTTTTTGCATAAAAATAATTTTCGGTTTAACGCTAGTCTGGAATTAAGCGAAAATTAAAGATTTTTTTTTAGTATTTTACACTTTAAATTTTATTGTGTGTTGCCCCATAGGCATATGCCTATTGCAGATCAATGAACTATATAAAACCTTTTTTTTTCTATTCTATGCTGTACCACAAGTGAATCACATGATTATTGGATTTGTTTAGATGGGCACACGTTATCCCACCCCTTTTCCCGTAATAGCCTCCTATCCTTTGAATCAGAACCCGATTTCTATTACGCGGTAGAAATAGGCGTCTATTTCTATTACGGCCGCCTATTTCTACCACGAAGTAGAAAAGTGAACTAATAGCAGAAGCGTTCGTTGGCAATGAACAATAGTTGAAAATGTATAAATAAATTATTTTATGTACAAAGTTGAAATTGTAGGCTCTTAATAATTCGTAGCTTGTAAGATATATTATATCGTCTCTTTTAACTTTAAAGTAATTTATGATATATTTTCTGGTGTTGTCTTAAATATTCATTAATAAATATCTATCAATACTTTGTTGTGTTTCACTATCATTACACATGGTGTAAGCGAATTTCGGAGCTAGTGGAGAAGAAAGTAGGATTCAAAGAACTGTTATACAATTTGTAGCACGGATGTGAATTACAATAGCTTTTGTACTGTTACGCCCTGGGGTTCGGGATAAATAAATTTTTATTACAACTTTTACAAAGTACAACTTAAAAACTGTATTCAACACTTAAAACACCTCACAAGCACTTTAAAACACTCAATTCACTTGTTCCGCTTCACTTCAGGTGATCCGTTCGCTGTTTCACTTCGAGTAGTTCCGATTACTGACTGACTGCGTGCCTTCTCTGCAACGCTTTTATAGTCGAGACGAAATCCCTAGAATATTCGAGAATATTCCACAAAAGTCTAGTATTGTGTGTTTCCGATATCTGACAATATATGGCGTTGTACTTCTCTAGCGTTCTAGATACTACTAGATCCTTCGATATTCGTTCGACTATTTGGCGATAGATGGCGTTACTCTTACCGGCGTAACAGTACTATAAAACTCGAGACTTCGAACTCATGTCCGAAGGTGGGTGACGGCATTTACGTCATTGATGTTTTATGGTAAAACACCAGGTGGATCGTGAAGGCACATCTAAGCAATTAAAAAAAAAACACTAAAAAAACCCCAGAGGTAGTAAGGAGAGATAAAAAGGAATCTTTTATATGCCACTACTGATTTACAGGGTTTTGTTTCACATATGGCTAAGTTACTTCACAGCCTACCTAGCATCAAGAGGTTACTAGAGCCCCTATAGATAATGTTACCATATTTATGGGCTCATGGACATGCACGACGACTTCCCCATCTTTCAAACGGTAAAATATGACAGCTTCGCAGAACGAATAAAATAACATAAATATGTTTTTGAAATTTATCTATTGGAATGTTCCGTTGTATCGTCTCCAAGTGTAACTGGTCCGTTGTCATGACCCAGTTTTTCGGCCTCATAGGTACTGGTGTTACTGCTACCCTGAACGGGATCACGGGGAATGTCCTCAACAATCAGTTTTGAAGAGCGTCGTTTAGCATCTGTGGATTTTAAATAGTCATAATCCTAAAATCTGTCCATAGACACTAAACGTAATCGGAATATAATGTGTGGTAGATACATTGTAGTACATTGGGTGGTTGCTGGAACTTATGATGGTTACTGGTCAGCGGCGTCATGGACACCAGCCAGTAGAGTCAGTAGCACAGTCAAGCCACTACCTAACGCGGAGGACTTTTCTCGAACCTCGTTTTTAGAAAGACAATTTATAGCACTCTGGACCGAGGAAAGTACACCGTGTGATAAAAATCAAACCCGCAAAATTATAATTTGCGTAATTAGGTACTGGTGGTAGGACCTCTTGTGAGTCCGCGCGGGTAGGTACTACCACACTCCCTATTTCTGCCGTGAAGCAGTAATGAGTTTCGGTTTGAAGGGTGGGACAGCCGTTGTAACTATACTGAGACCTTAGAAATTATATCTAAAGGTGGGTGGCGCATTTACGTGGTACATGTCTATGGGCTCCAGTAACCACTAAACACCAGTTGGACTGTGAGCTCGTCCACCCATCTAAACAATAAAAAAGGAAGTTCATTCTAAACCCAATGGTACATTTTTGAGAGCGCTAATGTTGTAGTCCATGACTGATTGTGACCACGTACCATGAGGGGGGTCCCACGTAAACCTGCCCATGAGAGCACTAAAAATAAATTACCTTGAATATCGTATCCAGGATGATAATTAGGGTACCTTCCGAACTCCCTATTGAAGATACTGGCTGCTCTGCGCACCATCTTACTCAACTGTCCAGCCACAGGAGAAGCTACGATCTGCTTAGCCAAAGCTTGCACGTCGTCTACATTAGCTGTTATTAGAATGTACGACTCTGTCCTAATGAGAAGGGCTGGAGAGAAAACATAAATCAAACTAACAATTAACATTTAAAAAATAAAATGCTCCACCACAAATGGATTCTATCTAGTAGGCTATGATCAAACAATTTCCCAATAAACCTATTTCTCCAGTTGAGCGGGAGCATTTAGGTTGTAGATGTCTACGGGTTCAGTAGCCAACTAACAACAGCTGGGCCATGAGCTCGTCCAAAACGTCGTGATAAACGCGAGATTGTACCATAAAAATAGTTTTATTTTTATCTGTAGCTCGGGAAAATCGAAGAATACCGAGGATATCAAAAATACAAATTAAAGGACTCACAAAATATACAAAACATAGGAATAATCATGGTGCTTCGTCCAAAACTGGAAAATATGTAACGAAAGTGGCATTAAACGGTTGGTATTAATAGAAAATGTCATTAAATTCAAATTTTAATGTAGTGTGAAATGCAGTACTTGGGCAATTAGAAATATTATTATGTTTGTACCTACAAATTTATAGATATACCTATACAGTTTGTTTATTGAATGTGATTATAATTGAAATACCCAAACTTTTATATATACTTTCCCATAAATAAAAATATCACATACGTTAGTTAAGCTAAGTCACAATATCATCAATTGAAATGTTACTTGTGTTGCCCAAATTAGAAATGTAATCTCGCTAATTTTAAACTAGAACTAAATTATTTGTAGCCACCGCTATGTACTATAAGTCATATTATTAAGTATTATGAACGATAAAGTGTATTCTGTGCTTGTACAGATAGTTACCGCCATTCTGCATTGAACGTAAACGTGATGTGGACGGCGGATACAATACAGTTAATCAACTTATTTTCGTCTTTAGGGACTTTAGTAAGCGCTTAATGTTAGGTGGGTGGGGAGCTCGATTGCTAGCAGTCAGAATATTTTAAGAATGTTTGCTCAAACATGTTGATGTTTTTCAACCCTAAAAGTCAGCTGTCAATGTCATATTGACAATTGATATGTAAGACAAAGTGTTGATTTTTGCAATCTCATTTTTTGCATACTTATTTAAATATCAAAACAATGGAATTAAATCTTCAACATGAAGATTTATTGATTAAATTAAGAGCTAAGCTGAACGAAGAAAAGATTAAGTTATGGGAACCACCTTATTATCAGACTGACAACGATCGCTCTCAAAATTTGCGGGTGCGTTTTATTTTTTTATTTTTTTCTTTAATTTAAATGCGGCTTTGAACGTGCCGAATGTTGTTTTTAATAAATTAAAACTAATTTATATTTGTACGTATTTTAATACTGAACTGTTTTCGACTTAATACATTTTACTTAGTTTACAAAACGGCCTATATCACTTGATAAATTATTTCAATACAGTGTGTTGATTTGACTTAGTCTTCAGACAAGACAAGAAAAATGTTATAGGAGTGTTATAAAAAGTCACAACTCGAGTGAGATTAGTATTTTTTAACTAAAAACACTCGCTGCCAGTGTTCATAGCAGAGCTACAAAAACATCACAGTGGAAATACTGAGTTAATTTCATAGACTAAAAGGAACCGTTCTTCAAACGAGGCTTGCGGAGAGTACTTTATAGTAGGCAGCGGCTTGGCTCTGCCCCTGGCATTGCTGACGTCCATGAGCGACGGTGACCACTTACCATCAGGTGGGCCGTATGCTCGTCTGCCTACAAAGGCAATAAAAAATAATAATAATAACCATAATAAAAAAAGTTGTATTTTCAATATTTTATTATTATAATTAACAGGATCTAGCATTAAAATACTCATCACAGTTATTACAAGATGATGAAACGGTGTTTTCTGCATTACGTGAATTACAACTGCATTCACTTGACCGATCCAAAGCAAATGCGGAGTACAAGGAGACAGGGCTGGCCACATTCAGGGTGAAAGCTAATGTATCAGGACAAAAACCTGTAGTCTTAAAAATTCAAAAGAAGTTGGAAGTGCCAGGCAGTGATCTCATTGAAACAGTGGCTAAGGAGATTAGTGTTGGAACTGACAGGTAATTGATGCTCTCTCAGAATTTTCTCAAAGAATAGCTCCTCAGAATATAGTCGTTTCGGAATTCGTCCTGGCCTAAAGGATAAGACGTCCGGTGCATTCGTGTTAAGCGATGCACCGGTGTTCGAATCTCAGGCGGGTACAAATTTTTATAATGAAATATGTAGTTAACCAATTTTCACAATTGACTTCCACGGTGAAGGAATAACATCGTGTAATAAAAAACAAACCCGCAAAATTCTAATTTGTGTAATTACTGGTGGTAGGACGTCGTGTGAGTCCGCGTAGGTAGGTACCGCCACCCTGCCTATTTCTGCCGTGAAGCAGTAATGCGTTTGGGTTTGAAGGGTGGGGCAGCCGTTGTAACTATACTTGAGACCTTAGAACTTATATCTCAAGGTGGGTGGCGCATTTATGTTGTAGATGTCTATGGGCTCCAGTAACCACTTAACGCCAGGTGGGCTGTGAGCTTGTCCACCCATATAAGCAAATAAAAAAAAAATAAAAAAAAATGCCATTTAAGGCATTACTGTATGATTAAATAGGGATCAGCTTCAAAGCTTGATATATTTATCTTTGTTTCAGAATAAAATTGATATGCAATGGTAAAATTATAAAACCGACAATGAATCTCAATGAACAGAATATTAAAAATGGAGTACAAATAATGGCACTTATTATGGGAGGTAATTACTATAATTTTGTCCTTTATATTTATCAGGGCTTACAGCAGATCTTTGACATCAAAACACAATTACCTCTGCCCATTCGTATTTTCACTACATTGGTAAAACATCAATGCCAACGTCAATCCAGGATTTATGACAGTTTTGCAACTGATATAATATTAAGAGTTAAACATTACATTTTAGGCAGAAGCTTGGCTTTACCAGTAGCATTTCTGGTTCCCAGCTGAGTCTGAGTTCTCCCAGCTGTCCTGTAAAACCGGAAAGGCCTTTGGGCCACCAGTAATCCTTCCATCCTAAAAAAGAAAAAGAGATGGCTTATGCCTATGAGTGACTGTATTTACCGTCAGGTCGATGATTTGTTTGACTGCCTACAAAGACAATAGAAAAAACTACGTTCTGTAAAGTTTGTTTAGGATGTCTCTTTAAAGAGATCATTATTTTTTTTAACACATCTTTTGAGTAAATTATGATTGTATATCATATTGTAAAGTAGACACATTCTGATTAGGTATGGTGTAAAACAGTTGAAAATATGTTGATTTGGTGGCCAGTTGATGTCTGCAGTTGCTATGATCATATGATCTGAAAATGTTTACTGTTCATGCTGTCCCATGTGTGAAGTGGAGGGTGGATCTGTCTTGCTGAAATCACCTATTATCCAAATCTATGTTACCCAGTTGACATCATAAGGACTATTTTATAATGTTCTTGTAATTAATCCCAAGGAGTCTCTCCATGATTTTCGCCTTTTTGTAATGGCATAATGATGAAACATTCTTTTGTGGGCCTGTCAGAGGGACCCCTAGCAAATTACACAGTCAACATTTACACAAGGAAGAAACACTCAACCTTTTCCTACCTAAGCTGATAGCCTTGAGAGGCTATCTAAGCGTAACCTAACAAGTAGATGAGCTCATGGGGCTCAAACCTGACAAATTTGACTAATACTAGCCCTAGCAAGAGCAGCAGTGTTTCGCAGAATCTACCACCGAATCGAAAACCCGACCCACTGAGAAGATCCAGCGAGAAACACAGTGGGCCTTGAATAGTGTACTCCTATTGTTGACGTGTGTTACATTTGAAAAATGAAAAGCCCTATTTTTCAAACTGTTCACTACTCGTGAATTTACATAATGATAAGTCAATATGTAAAGTATATATGAAGTAATATATGACACTGTGACGAGTAAATTAACCCATAGACACAGTCCACTGAGTTTCTCGCCGGATCTTCTCAGTGGGTCACGTTTCCGATCCGGTGGTAGATTCTGCAAAGCACTGTTCTCGCTAGGGCCAGTGTTAGCAACACCCCCGGTTTGAGCCCCGTGAGCTCACCTACAAAATACACTGAAATGCGACTTGTATCATTTTGTGTGTGTATTATCTATCCGATTTGTTGTTGACGTTTCAATTCACTGAAGAAAGAGTTTAAATCATTGAATAAGATTTGTATTTAGCGATGGTCACCGTACAAGCAGTCAAACGGTCAAGCGGATTTAACTAAAAATATAATTTTCTGAACTAAAAAAAACTGTTAGTAACCATAGAATGTCCTACAATATAGAAGCCCCAGAGAACGTTAAGAAAGAAAATGATATGTACATGGAGATGAAATCCACACGTGACGACGCTCTGCTGCTGACCGATTGCGCCGAAGAGTTGACTGGCGACGATGAGTATTTAAAGGTAATGTTTTATTTATTAACACTAGAACTGCCTTTCCCAGCGTTTTGACGTCGGATCTAATTTTTTTTGTTTGTTTTATATAATAACACTAGCTTTTGCCCGCGACTTCGTCCGCGTGGAATAGTTCACAAATAATGCTTTATTTTAGAACAAATTTGGTTAGCATAAAAAAACGTTATAGTGAGCCAACCTTAACATATAGACATAATATGCTGTCGCCGACTTTTTTTTAGATCTTTTAAAGGGCAACAATTCTGTCATACATTATTTTAGTGAAACTTTAACCGTTTCTGCAGCGCACGCAGCGGAAGCTCTCAAAAGGGAAAAAAACCCATTTTGAAACATTATTGGTGCTCCGCTTGTATTGGCCGTAGCGTGATGTTATATAGCCTATAGCCTTCCTCAATAAATGGGCCATCTAACACTAAAATAATTTTTCAAATCGGACCAGTAGTTCCTGAGATTATCGCGTTCAAACAAACTCTTCAGCTTTATAATATTAGAATAGATATATATATATATATTGTAAACAAGATCATCAAATTTCATATTTTTTGTAACGATAACGCGTACTCTTGAAATCGAATATTTATCACTAATTGTTAAATGCACCGATTGTGTCATGTTTTTTCGGTTACTAGTGCTTCTCCTACTGCAATTAATGCCGTGTGCATTAATTTCAGCTGGAAGACCAATCAGGAAAAGCACTCCAACTACCGGCAGCCGAGCGAAGATCCTTGACGGTTGGACTGGCACTGCACGAGCGCGGTCGGGCCGCTGTCCAGCAAAAGGACTACACGCTAGCCCTGGTGCTCCTGCTCGAAGCCGACAGGCAGTTCAGGTACCAAACCGTGGTCCGGACCGGGTCCTTGGAAGCTCCATGATTAAAGAGTTACAAAACCCGGATCATCAGTATACGGACGCTCGGCGAAGAGTGCAGGGTGGGTCTTAGCGGGTTATGATCCCTCCGATCTGTCACCTTGTAGGTATCTCGTAGGAGATCCAACCCTGGGACCCAAAGAATAAAATCGATATTTATATTTAGGGGGTAGTAAACACAGATAATGAGATCATCTCGAACATATGTATGGAGCATACATACATAACACAGAGAGAACTGAATTCTCTCTGCAGAGGGACTTGTTGTGCGCGAGGCTGACTTGTTTTTCATGTTTCCTTACATTGAACCACTCATATTTTTAAATCATAATTTGTATGTGCTTGTAAAGTTTTTATGAAAATCGGGACATCATCGCGGTCACCTTCTCACGACGGATGCACCACCATGTCATCGTCATGTTGACCCTTGTTATTTCTAGTGAATGCAGTTCGAATCTCCTGAAATCAGTGGACAACATTGCCGTCCTTCAGCTGGACATATCCTGGTGCTACCTTCATCTCCAGAACCTCGCCTCGGCTACTGATGTAGCCTCCAGACTACAGAGGGCCGAGGCGTCCTTCAAGGACACCTACGGCGAGAACCACGAGAGGCTCATCGCTCTGAAAGGAAACGCCGGTCCGTTGGAGATTCATATACTGGGTGTTAGGAGACGAGCTTCCGAAGAGACAGACGATAGTACTAATGACATATTTGATGATGGGACGGAAAAAAAATCGACCTTGATTAAAAAAAAACATATTTTAATAACGTTTTATCTTATCTTATACTTTTAAACGAGCAATTCTTGTATAATATATAATCTGAATCTCGGAAACGGCTCCAACGATTTTCATAAAATTTAGTATACAGAGGATTTCGGGGGCGATAAATCGATCTAGCTACGATTTATTTTCAGAATATGTTGTTTTATTCGTGTTTTCAATAATCAACTTTATCGATAATCAACTTTACGACTCTTCCCGCCATCTATTGGCGAATAATAATACTATTTTTACTGCTTTAAAGACACAACAAGATGGCGTTATAAAAAAAAAAACATCTAGTTAGCATTATATACGCTCCACCAGCGTTTAGAATTAGACTGAAGTGGCAATGGGCCGGCCACATAGCACGAAGAGAGGACGGTCGATGGGGCAGAAAGATCCTGGAGTGGCGACCACGTACTGGCAAGCGCAGTGTGGGACGGCCACCTACTAGATGGACCGACGACCTAGTAAAAAGCGCTGGGTCTCGTTGGATGCAAGTGGCAATAGACCGGTCGCACTGGAAATCTATTGGAGAGGCCTATGTTCAGCAGTGGACGGCGATAGGCTGAAATGATGATGATGATGATGACGCTCCACCATGTCAGTACAGCTAAATGAAACGATAGTTTCGTACAAAATACATTACTCTACTTAAAAAAAAACCAGCAATGAAACACATCATTAAAAACAGCTGATGCTCGGATCAACGAACTCGCGCGATCGCACAAATACTTCTTTACAACATTTGTCTAAATAACTCCATCATCAAAGGTGCCATTAGTACTATCGTCTGTCTCCGTTTTCGGAAGCGGTCTCCTAACACCCGGTATAACACGCCCTATTCTAAGGCTGCGTCTATTTCACAGCGGTTAAAGTTTTGTAATTGTATCACATAAAACTGAAATTTGTTTGGTTAGTTTGTTAGTGTGTCCCCTTGTTTATTGAAATAATGAGTCGATTACCTGTACAGTTGTGGTTGGCCCCCGGGGGCGGTATATGACGGTAAAACTGGTTCCATGGTGGTTTAAAAATGATGACGTCAGTATTGCTGATGAGGTCAGTGAGTGATGACGGTGAGACCGGCGCGGTGTTGTTATTACACATGATGGTGGTAGAATGAATGGTACTAAGGTGTGTGTGTGTGTGTTTTTTTATTTTTTATTTCCAGGTATATTTTTAGTTTTTTTAAGGGGTTTTATGACCTGGTAACTAAGACCTTTAAGTCATGTCTTATTTTAATTTTTAGTGGACTTTTTGGAGGATCCCGAAAAGTTACGTCCAGCGGCTTTGTTTCATTTTCCCACATTTGTGCACTTTCACAGATATTAAATATTTATTAATTAAACCACCGTTATTACACATTTAAACCTGAAGAAACCCTAAATAGACAAAATAAAACAAATCACACATCTTCACTCCTCGCGTTCCCGCAAAAAAGGCCATTTTTATAACTATTTTTTTTATCTTGCAATCAATCAGCTAGACTATGAGTAGATGTTTTGAGATCTGTTAGGCGGTCAGAGCAAAATCTTCATCGAGACTGCTCCACTCTGTCAACCGTGTCTATCAAGACTTAGGATTTGTCGCCTTTTAAGCCTATTTATTAGGTCCGGTGTAGTTAGTTTTTTTTTAACTAATATTTTTTTTAATCCTACCCTACTTGTCGCGTTTCCAGCAAACGAACGCGTTCTGTTCATGCGGCTGTACCTGCTGCAGGGCATCGTAGCTTACCACCAGAACAAGAGGGAGGAGGCGCGGCGACTCTTCGACAAGGCTGAAAATGAGATGAATTTTCTGAGAGTAAGTTCTGTTGTCTTGGGGATGTCCTGGATTATCATAGTGTATTCTTATAATCGGTCGCGATCCGGCCTCACCCGCCTGACGGTTTACGACCCCACGCAGCAATTCAGCTATGCCTCTGAAATTGTTGACGTCCATCGGTGACGCCACCCATGTGCTGGACCAATAAGTAATTTAAAAAAAGAGACAGAGCTCCTGTTTTGGTGCGGGCTGTATGGGCCGGTTGCTGAGATAAAGAAAGTTTGTGCTTTGTGCTGCAATACGGTTTATTTGTATGTTTATACACTTGATATTTTATGAGTACAATAAAGACGTCCGATTGCGGTGAAAAGTGGAAAAGGAAGAGACCGAAATCAACAATGTTGCCAATGTTATTTCCCATACAAAAATGTTGGAGTTGCCAACGGCTCCTGTGATAATCCACAAGCCGGTGATGTTGCCCGCCGCTGCCACCGCCCCCGCCCCCCGACCCTCCGCCAACGTTCTAACGGGGGACGGTCTCAAATCGCTACTGTAGGGGAATGATACCCCGCCCCGCTTAGTATACTATGCAGTTATAGTAATGAGCAACATATGTTAGTCAGCCAGTGGTTAACGTGCGGCGATCCACCGCGGTCGATGACGCGAATAAATATGTAATTATAATACGTAATGTTTTATTACCGCTCTGAGGTTTATGGAGGACAATGCAAAACGGATACTCAACCAACACACACACTCCGACACTAAAAACCTCACACTACCTTGATCAAAGTCTACGGAACCCAATATTTATTTGGATTTTTTTTTATTGCTTAGATGAGTGGACGAGCTCACAGCCCACCTGGTGTTAAGTGGTTACTGGAGCCCAGAGACATTTACAACGCAAATGCGCCACCCACCTTGAAATATAAGTTCTAAGGTCTCAGTATATCACGGTAGAAATAGGCGGGGTGGTGGTACTTACCCGTGCGGACTCACATGAGGTCCTACCACCAGTAAAATTTATGGATCGTCGGTACACTGGTTGGTCCAGGTGGACGACGGCTCGGTAGCGGCGCTGATGGAGCTCGGCTGGACGCGCAGCCAAGCCAGGACCGGCCTCCGCGCCGCCGCAGGACACGTGGACAGGGCGCACCAGCTCCTGGAGGAGAGGAGCGAGGAGCGCGAGAGGGAGAGGGAGAGACACAGACAGGAGAGGTGAGTAGCCTCGCCTGTAGCCCGGGCTAAAGGATAGCGATGCGAAATACGTACTTAACAAATGTTCACGATTGACTTCCACGGTGAAGGAATAACATCGTGTATCGAACCCGCCAATTTATAATTTATATTGCCTATTCTGCCGTGAAGCAGTAATGCGTTTCGGTTTGAAGGGTGGGGCAACCGTTGTAACTATACTGAGACCTTAGAACTTATATCTCAAGGAGGGTGGCGCATTTACGTTGTAGATGTTTATGGGCTCCAGTAACCACTTAACACTAGGTGGGCTGTGAGCTCATCTACCCGTTTAAGCAATAAAAAAAAAGTGTTGTGTTGTCGCAGAGAGGAGCGGGCCCTGGGTCGGTGCGCGGACGGCAGCCCGGTGAGCGCGGCGCTGCTGGCGGGGCTGCTGGACATGGGCTGCGCGCGCCGCCTCGCCCTGCTGGCCCTCAAGAACTCCAACAACAACGTGGCCGAAGCCCTGTACCTCATGCAGGAGAGGAGGGAACTGGTACTTATTACATCGCCTCAAACTTTTTTTTAAAGGCATTTGTTGACCTGGTAACTAAGACCTTTAAGTAATGTCTTATTCTAATTTATATTCTTATTTTTATGAAAACATGATAATATGGAGTGAAATTAAATGAAATGAGATGAGATATAATCTCAGTAGAATGGTGGTCATTTAATAAGTTTTTTTTTTATTGGTCTTTTTGGAGGATCTCGAGAAGTTACGTCCAGCGGCTTTGTTTCATTTTCCCACATTTGTGCACTTTCACAGATATTAAACAGTTAATAAACCACCGTTATTACAAATTTAAACCTAAAGAAACATTAAATAGACAAAATAAAACAAATCACACAACTTCACTACTCGCGTTCCCGCCAAAAAGTCGTCTCAAACTTTTTCGTCTGTGTGTTGCATGTCGCGTGACGGTCGGCCGCGGAGTATGGATAAAGTAAAAGGCGCTCGTCAGAGCAGCCGAGGACAATATGGCGGCGCCTATAGTTCGCAGCGGCTGACCGTGTAGTGTATAGACTATTACTCGTTTGTGCCAGTGCTCCACGCTATTTTGTTTGTTTGTAAATGTTGTTTGTCAGAGTTAAATGTCTATTAACTTTTACCGTGGCTTCATAAAACCACACAATCCTTTTTTTATTGCTTAGATTGGTGGACGAGCTTACAGCCCACCTGGTGTTAAGTGGTTACTGGAGCCCTCAGACAGAAACGCATTACTGCTTCACGGCAGAAATAGGCGGAGTGTTGGTACCTACCAGCACGGACTCACAAGAGGTCCTACCACTAGTAAAAAACGAGTAATGAGCACGCACTTTATCAAGTCCCTATTCATTTTGTGAACGCCATCCATCCTTCAGCCTGGAGCGAGTGGCGCCGCGTCAAGCGCTCCACTATAAAAAAATAAGGGGGGGGCAGGATTTTTTTTATTTTTATTGCCTTGTAGACAGACGAGCACACTGCCCACCTGATGGTGAGTGGTTATCGTCGCCCATGGACTTCAGCAATGCCACGGGCATAGCCAAGCCGCTGCCTACCGCTTAATACTCTCCCCAAGCCTCGTTTGAAGAAGGACATGTCACAGCGCTCGGGAAACACCGTGGAGGGGAGCTCATTCCATAGCCGGATGGTAAAAACCAAGGTATGGGAATGTCGCCGCACTGAGCCTCTGAAGGCTTCAGCGGTGATCGACAGCTGGTGGATATCAAACGTCACGTCATGCAACTTTTTTTGTTTTTGTTTTTTTAAAGCTTCAAGACAGTGACGCGTCTTCCAGCGACCAGGAGACCCCGAGCTCCGACGACTCCACGCTGGAGCCCGACAACAAGCTCGCGGCGGAGGTCAGTTACGTGACGTCACACACTTGGTTTAATGACCCCGTCGAAACCTACAGTACGAGCAAATCGCTAAATCCAAAAGTGGTCCAGTATTGAAATTGACTGGTGGTAGGATGCCTTGTGAGTCCGCGCGGGTAGGTACCACCACCCCGCCTATTTCTGCCGTGAAGCAGTAATGAGTTTCGGCTCGAAGTGTGGGGCAGCCGTTGTAACTATACTTGAGATCTTAGAACTTATGTCTCAAGGTGGGTGGCGCAGTTACGTTGTAGATGTCTATGGGCTCCAGTAACCACTTAACACCAGGTGGACTGTGAGCTCGTCCACCCATATAAGCAATAAAAAAATAAAATAAAGGGTACATTTTAATAGTTTCTTTTTTCTTTCTTTAATAATAATAGTACGACTAAGAAATAAGGACCAATTTCGATAGTCGGTAACATAATTCATACGACAGTTTAATCGTCTCGTTTCCAGCTGGAGGCGATGGGCTACGACCTGGACGACGCCAGGATCGCCCTGAAGCTGTCGCGGAACCAGCTCGGCGGGGCGCTGGACATCCTGCTCGGGGGGCAGCTGCGCGGTGAGTGGCCTCCACCAAACACTTTACGTAGTGCTTGTTCACGTTGACTCGCGGGCGTGGTGGCGGGCGCGATGCGGGTGCGGTGGCGGGCGCGGTCACGAAATTATTTATTATTATTTTTCCTACCTATGCTGATAGCCTTGAGGGGCTATATCAGCGTCGCCCTAATGTGTGTAGGTGAGCTCCCGGGGGTCAAACCGGAGTGTTGCTAACACTGGACCTAGCAAGAGCAGTGCTTCGCAGAATCTACCACCGGATCGGAAACGTGACCCACTGAGAAGATCCGGCGAGAAACTCAGTGGGCTGTGTCTGCGGGTTAATTCGCTCGTCGAGTCCTTCGTCGCAAGCGACGGGTTCGGCGAGGACGACGACCGGTGCTTGTGGTGCCTAAAAGCACCGTTAATGGATCGGGAGGATCCGTAATGACGTGCTTTGGGCGACGTCGACGGTTTACCATTCGGGGTCACGAAATATCAAATACCTGTTTATTATTTTTTCTTTAATTGTATTTTTTGACTTGCTTTTTCGTTTATTGCAAATATTTTTACTTATTGAAAAAAAAAATGTAAATATTTGAGTGATGTTATAAAACAAAAAAAAGAAGCCCGCTGAGTTTGTTTCGCCGGTTCTTCTCAGTACTGTGGCTTTTTTCGGAACGGGTGGTAGAGTTAACGTTTTTTTTATATTTTGACATTCAACAAGTGCGTTACACTGACATCTAAGTTGAAATAAATGATTTTGAATTTGAATTTGAATCATGATGTAATATACAAGTGTTCACGTACGAAACGCACGCGCGGTCTAAGTAGCGGGCGAGCCAGCGACTGGCGCCCGCGGCAATATCAAACGCGCGAGTTGTATGGGTGTGTTCATGTCGAACTAGCGGCGAAGCGCACGATTGCACTCGTGACGTCGGCGAAGTTCAACCAGTTTGAACTTCTCACTAGAAACGATATGTCTTTCGATACAGAAGAAATACGAATAAAGTATGTAATTCACCATGCACACCGACTCGAATTGTTATCATCTCCCACTTTAAGTATGAATTTTCGGTTAAAAATAAAAGATCGTCGTCCATGTTTTCAATCTCTGAAAGCAGTCAAACTCGCGGAAACGCCTGGCGGCCAATGTGAACACGAACTCGCTACGTCTACCGCGCCCGCGCCCGCCGCCGCGCCCGCACGATTTACGTGAACAAGCACGTACTTGTAAATTAAAGTTACATCCACGCGTGGTGCGACGGTGACCGTTCACCACAGTGTGCACGTCGACTGTCAAATTCACAAAAAAAATATGCAAACAGCGATTCCAAATTTGATACATTATCATGGATATCAAAGGAAATATGCATGATTTTGATCAGTCTTAAGTTACAGAATACAGAAAGCTACCTGATTTCCCCAAAATATTTATTAACTAGCTTTTGCCCGCGACTTCGTCCGCGTGGAATAGTTCACAAATAATGCTTTATTTTAGAACAAATTTGGTTAGCATAAAAAACGTTATATTGAGCCATCCTTAACATATAGACATATGCTGTCGCGGACTTTTTTTTAGATCTTTTAAAGGGGAACAATTCTGTCAATACATTATTTTAGCGAAACTTTAACCGCTTCTGCAGCGCACGCAGCGGAAGCTTTCAAAAGGAAAAAAAAACGATTTTGAAACATTCTTTATAGTCGTTCCGCTTGTATTGGTCTTAGCTTAATGTTATATAGCCCATAGCCTTCCTCGATAAACGGGCTATCTAACACTGAAAGAATTTTTCAAATCGGACCAGTAGTTCATGAGATTAGCGCGTTCAAACAAACAAACTCTTCAACTTTATAATATTAGTATAGATAATATTCTATAAAAAAAACCATTTCAAATGCTCGAAATAAAGGAGAATAGTAAACAGTGACGTCACTATTTTACAAGCTCGAGCGACTGCTTCCCTGCAGGTAGAGAGTACTAAGCGCCACCAGTATGCACGCAGTTCCTTTCCACCGCAGATGTCGGCGACCCGTCCACCAGCTCGGCGGCCGCCAGCAAGAAGAGACTCCGGAAACTGAAGCGAGAGAAGAGGGAGAAGCGGTAACTACCCGGCGTTTCCCGAGCGCTATCACATGTCCTTCTTCAATCGAGGCTTGTGGAGAGTATTAAGCGGTAGGCAGCGGCTTGGCTCTGCCCCTGGCATTGCTGAAGTCCATGGGCGACGGTAGTCACTCACCATCAGGTGGGCCGTGTGCTCGTCGGCCTAAAAAAAAAACATTCGGATTTAGTCTCCAGAGCGTGCGGTCCGCGGGCTACAGCTCACCTCGGACACAAGGTCATTTTAATCATTTTAAACTCGACCTTCTAAGCCAGTCTGATGTATCGTAAGATCATTATTATGGTACAACAAATCTGTTATAGATCTTACCAGTGATATATTCATATTGAAAACAAATTAGTAAATACAACACTGGTGGTGATGTCCACCGTGAGGGACCTCACAATATGAGACCCTAAATAGGAGCTGGAGAGTGAAAGCTTCTCAAAGCGTTGGCTGAAGCTTTTTACTATCGAAATCTGTTCTGAGTCCCGACACAACAAGCTCGCAGTATCAGCTTATCATTTTCAGCCTTCACGATGTCCCCTCGCGAGGGTCGCTGACCCCCACCGATTACTTACACTGATTACTTGTATAATTGATTTTATATCGATCCTTGCCCCCGGCCGCCACACTGGGCCGAGTAGTAAAAGAGCTTGAGGTTCGATTTATCAAGGAATTGTATGTGGAAACCCTAAAATGAGACACGATCCGCGACACAGGAGAGATTTTATTTCAAAAAGCTCGATATAATTGTTTGGCATTTTCACACGCCCTGTATATAGGAGTCTCGCTTAAAGCGGACTACCCGTCTTTTTAGTTTTAGTATCTCTGGCCAATTTACCGAAATAAAATGATATCTTCAGCTGCACGTTAGTGTACAAATGATTTGCTATCATCCCGGTCGTCCGAGGACATCAGCCAGGCGAGGAGCGCGACCAAGTTGGGTTTTACTGGTGGTAGGACCTCTTGTGAGTCCGCACGGGTGGATACCACCACCCTGCCTATTTCTGCCGTGAAACAGTAATGCGTTTCGGTTTGAAGTGTGGGGCAGCCGTTGTAACTATACTGAGAACTTAGAGCTCATATCACAAGGTGGGTGATGGCATTTACGTTATGGATGTCTATGGGCTCCGGTAACCACAATAAAAAAAAACTGGCCCGCGTATTACTAATGTGCCTGCGCCCTTACAGCCGACAAGAGCGCGACTCGGCTCTGAAGCGTCTCAAGACGTCGGTGAAGACGGAAGACGACGACTACCTGGACACCAGCCTGGTGGATGAAGAGGAATTCCTCGCTAAATACAAATCCTTGCTCTAAGCCATGCCATATTGTGACGTCACGAGCGCGCGCGGTCATTGATCCACGACGCCAGCCCCCGTCCGCGGAATAGCCCCTTAGACTACCAGTGAATCCTCCCCCTCGCGTCCCTTTCCTCATTACTGAGGGTCGTGACTCCCCCGCTTCATAATTTACTCGCGGACGATTTTCTGCTGCTATACTTCGTGAAAGGCATCGTGGTACTTGACGGAAGGAAGGTAGGAAAGTACCACGTAAATTTGATTCAATACTAGAGCAGATGTAGTGCCACTGTAACCGACAACAAACACACTCGGGGCTTAACTATTACAAAAACGTTGAGTCAACGCGTTAGGGGCCACGCCGCACTCCGCCCCCCGTCCTCGTGGGGAGATTATGAAGTGTTCTGGAAAATCGATCGAATTTCATATCGTAGTAGTAGGTTTATAGTGTTATTAGTCAGTAGAGATTTGTAGGATATGTTATTGACATAGTCAAACCCGACCGCGGGAGTATTAGAGCCCATAAATAACACTCTTAAATCAGTTATAGATAAGAAACTCAAGCACTCAACATAAAATTTTTACGGGCGTCGGCCACTAGATGGCTTCGCTTCGATTAGTTTCTCATTGCTCCTGTAGATGGCAGTAACATATTTTATTTTTAATGAAGGATTTTGTGAATTTTCAGAAGCCACAAATCGATAAAATTTAATCAATTTGTCTATAACAAATAAAGACTCGTATGATTTTTTATTTTTTTATTTTCTGTGTTTAACATACAAGCTTAGGGGTATTTGCTACAAGATGTCGCTAGTTTCCATACAAAAAATTTTTGTGTATTAGCCGACAGGAGATGTATCTAGCTGTAAGTAGTGGTTCGTATAAATTGTGGGTAGATGCAGTTTATGTGTTTGTAGATATATTTGAGTTTTTGGCGGGAACGCGAGGAGTGAAGTTGTGTGATTTGTTTTATTTTGTCTAATTAATGTTTCTTCAGGTTTAAATGTGTAATAACGGTGGTTTATTAACTGTTTAGTATCTGTGAAAGTGCACAAATGTGGGAAAATGAAACATAGCCGCTGAACGTAACTTCTCGGGATCTTCCAAAGAGTCCACTGAAAAAGTCTCAGTAAATGACCACCATTTTATTGAGATTATACTTCATCCCATATCATCTCATCTCATTTCATTCCGTTTTCATTTCATTTCATGCCATGTTTCATAATAACATAATTTCATTTCATAATACCATTTTCATATAAAAAAGTTACGTATCATTAAAATTAAAATAAGACTTGACCCAAAGGTCTTAGTTACCAGGTCATAAAATCCCTTAAAAAAAAAGTAGATTTATTTTTATTCAATTAAAAGTTTAAAAAAAAAATGGTTCGAAATTTAGGCAAACTGTAGTCCGTGGACATCAGCAATTGTGTGTATGCTTGGCAACAGTATCAGGCAGGGTGGCGGCACCCAGCCGTGCGGGCTCGCGGTGCTTTCTCTAATTATTGCACAACTCCGTGTGTGAATTATGTTTGAATCATTTTCTAACTAATCTTTTTAAATAAACCGACATTGTCCTATTAATATCGTGTGATTTAAATACAAAATTAACGTGTAATCGATTTTGTATAAGAATAATATATTATGGTGTATTAGAACAATACAAATGTGAATTAACGAGATGTGTTTTATTTTTGTTTCCTGGTGAAATAACTAAATGCAACACGGACCACGGTTTCAGTCGATCTTTTTCTTTAGATGGGTGGACGAGCCCACGGCCCATCTGGTGTTAACGGGTTACCGGAGCCCGTAGACATCTACAACGTAAATGCCGCCACCCACCTTGAGATATAAGTTCTAAGGTCTCAGTATAGTTGCAACGGCCGCCCCACCCTTCACACCGAAACGCACCACTGCTTCACGGCATAAATAGGCGGGGTGGTGGTACCTACCCGCGCGGACTCAAGAGGTCCTACCACCAGTAAAATTCCACCAGTAAAGATCCGGCGAGAAACTCAGTGGGCTGTGTTTGTGGATATGTCGACAGCGTGTGGTCTGTTGGCGCATAAAGCATTAACAAAAAAAACACAGGCTCACACTTGTAATCGGAATATCCGGTTATAATATAAATATAAATCGTCTGTGATGACGGAATATATGGTGTACGAAACTTCTAAGATCTTAATAAAATTACAATAAAAAACGCAAGACTAAATCGTGAAAGTAGTTTTCATTGTGTAATCAAATGTTTTCCGTAAATAATTACATATCATCTATACATATAAATAAAATTGTGTCTGTCTGTTTGTAATTTTGAAATAACCGCTTTTTATTACATGCATAATAATATGAATACATATACCCTATATACTCCGAAATAACATTTTTTACAATTTTTGTGTCTGTCTGTTTGTTCCGGCTTATCTCTGGAACGGTTGGACCGATTTTCACGAGACTTTCACTTATCGGTAGCTGATGATATAAGGAGTAACTTAGGCTACTTTTTTTAGACTAGCTTCGGCCTGCGGCGACACCCGCGGTACTACAATAACCGCGGGTAACATCGCGGGACTCAGCTATCAATATAAAATTTAATGTCTCCAAAGCGAAGCGAGGGTGGGTCGCTAGTATTATAATAAAATAAGAGAATTATTATTACATTTAGAAGAGAGACAGTTGCCCGTAAAATACACTATATATGAGTCGTCTATTATCAAAGGTGGCAATCTGTGCATTTGGACAAAAAAATGTTATTGATATGTCAATACAGATTGATTTGAATATAATCGTCTCCTTCAAAGAATACGGTTCAAAACCTGCATAATTAATAATTTAAAAATATTAATAAAGGTTAATACTTAACCTGTTATTTATCTAAGATGTCGTTCAGAAGAGTTTTGTGACTGCCAATGGAATACAAAGTCAATAATTCGTTTTTCTGATTTACCAATAATTGTCCAAAAGTCACATTGCCGGCTTTGATAATAGTCGACTCATATATATATACCTTTAAAACAAATTACTGATTGGCTAAAAACTCAAGAAACATAACATCGTTCTTGATGTAATCGAACTTTTCTAAGCTGGCGTGCGGTATGAATATGTACTGCCTCTTCATTTGAAGAACCGACTTGTCCAGCGCCTCGTTCGACTTGGTCTTCGCCTCCTCGTCTGCGTGGTCGTAGTCGTGACGTTTCGATGACGACTTGCGACGCAGTTGTAAGGACTTGACAATGTCCATAGCCTGGAAGGGAGGGTATGTTTATTTTTACTGCACCACGGCGTAGCTCACGACCCAGCTTGTGTTGAGGGGAGGTTTTTTTTTATTGCTTAGATGGGTGGAGGAGCTATATTGAGATATAAGTTCTAAGGTCTCAAATATAGTTACAACGGCTGCCCCACCCCTCAAACCGAAACGCATTACTGCTTCACGGCAGAAATAGGCAGGCTGGTGGTACCTACCCGCGCGACTCACAAGAGGTCCTACCACCAGTAGAAGTTCTTAGACCCCTCAACGTAAATGCCACCAATACTCGAGGTCCAAAATTGTTTTGTAAAAGGACATGACTGCTTTGCTGCAGAAATAGGATAGGGTATCCGTGTGAACTCAGAATACTTCTAGTAATCCCGTCTATCAATTATGAGAAGCATTTTCTCCTAATGGCCTATAATTAATAAACGCTATTAGCTATATTTCAAAACAAGTAACTACCTGCTTTCTGTTAGCAGGCTGGTCTTTAAGTACGATGTTGATGTTGAGGTCACAGGGCCACTCCAGCAGAGGATCGTACGGCCCTCCGACCAGCCTCACCGTGCAGGTGATGTGGCGGCCCTTCCATTTCCCTATGCCATTAAGGTTCAATTCCGCCTGAAAAACAAAGGGGTAAGTTTACGTGAGACGCCGGCTCACCGAAGAATGCAATATGATTAGAATTTTTTTTTTTTTTTTTATTGCTTAGATGGGTGGACGAGCTCACAGCCCACCTGATGTTAAGTGGTTACTGGAGCCCATATACATCTACAACGTAGACGCGCCACCCACCTTGAGATACAAGTTCTAAAGTCTCAGTATAGTTACAACGGCTACCCCACCCTTCAAACCGAAACGCATTACTGCTTCACGGCAGAAATAAGCAGGGCGTGGTACCTATCTGCGCGGACTCACAAGAGGTCCTACCACCAGTAATTACGCAAATTATAATTTTGCGGGTTTGATTTTTATTACACGATGTTTTAATGTATTACACGATGATTATTTCAAGGAAGTATTTTTTGGCTTTCAAGTTCTTTCTTTTTATTCGACATCTGTGAAGTCTTAATGACGTTGTCACAAAGGCCGTTTTTTAAACTGAGAAATCATTTATAAATAAATTAACATAGAAACATGGTACCCCTGTGGACTTGTAACATACCTTGGGAACGGTCCTTAGAACCAAGAATAACGGTAATTAGGTAAAAGTATTAATAAGATGATGTTGCCATAGCTGGATGATAGTGAAGATACCATTATGGGTACCATCACAATGCCTAACTTCGTCGCGGTATTCCGGTTTGAAAGATCAAACATATAACGGCCGTCTGGTGTAGTGGTAAGTGACATGGTCACTACACAAAGGGATCGCGGGTTCGAATCCCGCCAAGGGAAGATTTTTGTATGATAAATATAAAATGTATTTTCCAGGGTTATGGATGTATATTATATATAATATATCTGTAACACAAGTTCTTTACGAACTTAGCACGGGACCAGTTAACGTGGCGTGATTGTTAGTAAAAAAAAAAGAAAAATCGGTTGTCTGTAAAGTCGGTTTACTGATGATAGTTGAACGTGACAACGTCATGAGAAAATACGCCTCAGAGCGAGTTAACGCCGCATGAGTCATGTTTTTTCGTGCTTGCAGCCGGCTCCATCGAACTATAAGACCTTGTCACGTCAAAAAAAAATAAAGTAAAAGTAAAATAAATAGTCATAATACAATAATTGAAACTTCTACCTCAAATAGGATGACGGCTTTCACTCCGCGATGTCTATGAACTCCAAAAGCTAGTTAACCGGTGCTGTATCATTAACTCGTTCACGCAATAGCGCAGGTATGAGCTGAAATATCCTTCGGTCTTATCTGGACTAAAGTCTCCTGACCTCTAGCTTAACTTATGAGTGCCTCTCCTCCTTTTTTTTTTCTTTTTTTTCCGGGCCATGGGCCGAACCTCCTACGAGATCCCCGCGCCTAGGGGTCGCGCGGGGTATGTGGGACTTGACGATCTGCAAGGTATTGGGAGCAGACCGCGGGCCCAAGGAATTTTAGGGCCCACCCACTAAACGACTCCCCTGCAATGAGTGCCTCTCCTCCTACCTTAAGCGTGTATCCATATTTGTGAGTCCGGAATATAGGACTACTCAGAACTGTGTCGTTTTCTCTGGCGTCTTTCATTCGTGCTGTGTAGTTCTCGATTCTCCAAATGAAATGCCCTGTACGAAATAAATTCGTGATTAGAATATATAATACATTAGAAAAAATCATATATAATCCGCCAAGCTGTATTCGAGAAAGATGATCTTTCGTTTCTTTTACCAAATCGTCGGCAGCCTAAGGTGCTATTTCAACTACTCGCGGATTGACCCTAGCAAGAGCAGTACTTCGCAGAATCTACCACCAGATCGGAATTGCGAACTACAGAGTAGATCCGGCGAGAAACTCAGTGGGTTGTGTCTATGGGCTAGTTCGCACGTCGAACTCTTCGACGAGATTAGGTACATGACACTGGCAGAGTTGAGCTTCGAAGAATATTGTTACGCCGGTAAGAATAACGCCATCTATCGCCAAATAGTTGAAAGAATATCGAAGGATCTAGTAGCACCTAGAACGCTCGAAAAGTACAACGCCATCTATTGTCAGATAGCGGAAACAATACTAGAGATGTGTGGAATATTCTCGATAACTCTAGGGATGTGGTATCGACTATAAAAGCGTTGCAGGGATGGCACGCAGTCAGTCAGTAATCGGAACTACTCGAAGCGAAACAGTGAACGGATCACCTGAAGCGAAGCGGAACAAGTGAATTGAGAGTTTTAAAGTGTTTGTTGAGTTTTTTAAGTGTTCTAAGTGTTGAATACAGTTTTTAGTTGTACTTTGGTGGAATTTTATTTATCCCGAACCCCAGCGCGTAGCAATATATTAAGGCCCTAAGAAGAATAGTTTCAACAGAGAGTCGTATTATTTATGCAATCCACGTGTTGAATCAGTACGAACCGTCATCACTGCCCATCTCGTGATGGTTAAAACTGATTTTTGCTTGGAAGTCTGCTAGTTCCGTTCTCAGCTTGTGGTAGGATTTAGTCAGCGCTCGGAGGTCTCTGGAAACGATGTCCATCTTCGCTGCATGCTCCGCCGCCTCTGCCCTGGCATCGGCTGTGGCCACTTCTAACACCGCCAGCCTATCTATACTCTGAGCAATTATAAAACTACAAATTATTTTTTTAATTAGAACTGTGTTATAAGAATCCAGAATCGAGCTGAAAATATATTCATGAATTTTGTGATCTATTTATTATTGCTTGTTTTGAAGTCGTCGTGGCCTAAAGAATAAGACGTCCGGTGCATTCGTATCTAGCGATGGAACGGTGCTCGTATCCCGCAGGCGGGTACAATTTTTCTAATGAAATACGTACTCAAATGTTCACGATTGACCACCGCCCTGCCTATTTCTGTCGTGAAGCAGTAATGCGTTTCGGTTTGAAGGGTGGGGTAGCCGTTGTAACTATACTGAGACCTTAGAACTTATATCTCAAGGTGGTTGGCGCATTTACGTTGTAGATGTCTATGGGCTCCAGTAACCACTTAACATCAGGTGGGCTGTGAGCTCGTCCACCCGTCTAAGCAATAAAAAAAATTATAATCAAAATAACCACTAATGTTATATAACTATATATTGTAATTACAATTATGTAGAATAACTCGACCGATGGAATAAAAAAATTGTTTGTTACAGTTAGTTACTGTTCAATTACTTATCCACTCCTAAAAACCTAGTTAAAGTCACTTAATTCACCGGTCTATCGGGGCCACTGTTTTGCAGCTGGCTTCTCAAAGCGGACAGCTGGGCCAGCTGTTCCGAAGACCTGCGCGCCTCCAGCAGTTCCGTCTCTAATGCCGCACGATTTTCAGCGTTGCGTTCCCTCTCCTCTTCCACTGTTTGCTTCAAGTATTGAATGACATCCTCTGCAAGTTTACAAACAAACGGATTTTTGCAATGTGTCTAATTTTTGTCTAATGCAAAGGTTATTGGATCTGATGGATTCGTAAGGACGTGCTTAGAGCGTACTAAAGTGGCGGATGAAAGGCGATTGCGTGCAGCAGAGATGCGAATATTGCGATGGATGTGTGGAGTAACGAGAATGGATAGAATACGGAATGAATATGTTAGAGGAAGTCTGAAAGTGGCACCTGTGACAGAGAAGCTGAGAAGTGCGCGTTTGGGATGGTATGGACATGTGATGAGACGAAATGTGATGTGGCTAGTAAGAGAGTGTTAACTATGAATGTGGAAGGATATAGAGGAAGAGGTAGACCTAAGAAGAAATGGATGGATTGCGTGAAAGACGATATGGGTAAGAGGAGAGTGAGCGAAGAAATGGTATATGATAGAAGAGTGTGGAAGGAGAAAACATGTTGCGCCGACCACAGGTAACTGGGAGAAGGGCAGGATGATAATGATGACAATGTGCTTAGAGCGTACCAAGCTTATAAACGGCCCGTATCCTGCTGTCGTGCTGCGTGAGGGCCTGCTCGAGGAGTTCCCTCTCGTTCTGCTCGTGGACCAGACTGCTGACTGCGCTCTCCAAGCGCATCGCAGTTGATAACTGTTGACTTTGAAGCTCCTGTGAAGTTTAATAAAAAATTAACTACACATTTTTAATACGCTTTTATTAGCTTCAGACGTATGTATGTTTGTAACGGAATCTTTGAACATGATTTTGACCCCCTTCAAAACGTCAGATTAACTCGAAATTTGGTATAATTATTAAGGACCGATGATAATTCAATATTAAAAAACGTATTGAAAAAATTGAAATTCAACTAAAAAAATGAAAAATAAATAATAGTTTAAAAAACTAACAAAATACGCTTTTATAGAAAATCCAACTAAAAAATAGAAAATAAATTTTAATAAATTAGAATTAAAAATAGTGTAAGAGATAATGATTTTATTGTAAAAAAAAGGCGTGGGATGCATGGTATCAGTAGTTATAAATATTTTATGAACAGATATGAGTAGAAGGGTTATTTTAGATAATATCCTGAAAAGCACCCCACGCTTTTTTACAATAAAATCATTTTTCTGGCACTATTTCTAATTCAATTTTTTTTTAATTTATTGTTTTCAAATCAAATCAAATCAAATAGTCAAAAAATTTATATTCAACATAAATGAAAGTACATACTTGTTGAACGTCAAAAAGAACTACCGCCAATTCAGAAAAACTAGCCTTCGTCCTGACAAGAACTGGCAAGAAACTCAGCGGGCATCTCTTTTTTTTTAAATATTAGATTTTTGTTTTTAATATTAGTTTTTTTTTAAATATTCATTTTTACAATGAGTATTATAACGTAACAATTCTTGCAATATTGAAATGCCCGGAGCGAGCAACTCATTCCCACTTTGTGTAATCTTCTTTTTGATAAGTATATGACATAACTACCTACCTAATTCATCGCAAGAAGGTTTGCTTGTTGTGGGAAACGAACCCACGACCCTTAGCGCAACAGTCAATCATTATTACCTGTAAAGCTATCTGGACGTTGGCTAAGTCATGTTTGAACTGTGCAGCCCAGTTAGCGGAACGACTGGCCTCATCATCCACGGCCGCTCTCAGAGACACCAGGGTCGACAGGAAATGCTGAGTCCGTTCTTCGACCAGCACCAACTTAGAGCGGATCGTCTCCATCTCTGTAGACTGGATGTCGCGGTGACTACTCTCTTCTGTTATCACTAACCTGAAGGAGAGATTACCAAAAAAAAACGTATTTTTTATACTATCGATACTAGCACATCATAGAGAACGCTCAACGCTTGCCTAACACCTGTCTGCAACGCGTAATGCGCTACTTTGGCCACGTTACCCGCAGAGGTGTAGACAACTTGGAACGTCTGATGGTCACGGGAAAAGTAGAAGGAAAGCGTCCTAGAGGCCGGGGCCCCAAACGTTGGTCCGCCCAGATCTCCGAGCAAACCAGCGGACCACTTAGCGCTGCACTACACCAGGCAAACCACGTCATCTCGGATCCTCCCGATCCACTAACGGTGCTTTTAGGTACTTCAAGCACCGGTCACCGTTCTCGTCGAACCCGTCGCTTGCGACGAAGGGCTCGACGAGTAAATTAACCCTCAGACACAGCCCACTGAGTTTCTCGCCGGATCTTCTCAGTGGGTCGCGTTTCCGATCCGGTGGTAGATTCTGCGAAGCACGGCTCTTGCTAGGGTTCGTGTTAGCAACATCATCAGGTTTGAGCACCGTGAGCTCACCTACAAACGTTAGGGTTACGCTGAAATGAGCCTCTAAGACTATCAGATTAGGTAGGGAAAAAAAAAAAAAAAAACACTAGGCAACTGACCGGAACCGATGGCGACTGGCAGTCGACAAGCTGAAACGGAGTCACGATCCTCAGCAATGAGGGAGTGATGGAGAAGAAGAAGACTAGCACATCAGCATGCAGGACAATTGGTAGTGCGTCTTATCGTCTCTCGTTCAAGATTTTAACGCATTGATTTGTGAACAATCTTACGAGCTGCAGTTAAGTACCCACTGCAGCCCTTTCTTCTTCAATACCATCATCCACGCTGGTAAATGTGGTCGATTTCACAAAATACCCCCTACCAGTAATCAAGCAAATTTTATAACATGGTAAGCCTCAAATCAAACCTGTGGAGAATTCGATCTAAATACAGGAGAGAACACTGCGCGGTGTGATCTCAGAGCAATGGCAACTCAAACCATATTTGGACATGTGGTTCAACGTTGGTCTGGCTATACACTAGGTATTACCGGAGCCTATACAACCTGTGAAAGCTACGAGCCATTAATAATAATTATTATTTATTTATTTCTTGCTGGAAGGTATAGTAGAAATACAAATAGTACAATAATTTATTTTGTTAGCCTTTGAAAGAGCTGAAGTAGGTACTAGCTTCAAAGACCTGTATTACTGATCTCCAGACTTCCTCCATCTTAGGATAGATTAGGTTAGGTTAAGTCGCTATCACCGCTACTCTCCTTGAGACATGAGGTCGAAATATGAATCGTTTCGAATAATTTATTGTAGTCCTAAATTAGAACACAGGATTGCCTGAGCGAGATCTCAATGCTTCCTACAAATCTATACTATTCAAATGCCAATTTTACTCATCATGATACTGACTTGATGTTAGCGACTTCTTTCTCAAGGTACGAGACGCAGTCTTCCAGGGGTACAGATCTCGGAGACCAGGTGTGGACGGAGGCTGGTGGTACAGGTGGGGCAGGGGCTGGCATGCTGGCGTGACTCGGAGATGTAGAGTTGCGAGCCTAGCGGCAAAAAAACAAAATTTAAATCCAAAACAATGATTTTTCTTTTTAATTCCATCAATGCCTTAAAGAGTAGACTGTCCATTCGATCTGGTTGTTGTAGCCCATAGACATTAATGTGAATTACACTAAATATCGTGAAATCGATGACTTGATTATATCGCGTCGAGAAGTTGATCGATTCTTTTATCACATGACCGATGTTTGAAAATTAAAACGTTTACTTTCAGAAATGAATACGTTGCTTATTCAGTTTTTTATTCGATACATTGAACCCGCAAAATTATAATTTGCGTAATTACTGATGGTAAGACCTCTTGTGAGTCCGCATGGGAAGGTACCACCACCCGCCTATTTCTGCCGTGAATCAGTAATGTGTTTCGGTTTGAAGGGCGGGGCAGCCGTTGTAACTATTCTGAGACCTTATAACTTATATCTCAAAACGTGTGGCGTATTTACGTCGTACATGTCTATGGGCTCCAGTAGCCACTTAACACTAGGTGGGCTGTGAGCTAGTCCACCAATCTAAGCAATAAAAAAATTTATCAATAAGCGTTATGTACCTTCTCCATTTGCGGGCATTCCCTGACATGCGTGTCCTTGTGTTTCCTCTGTATCCACGCGCCACAGCGCAGAGGACACTGTTCCAGGATACTGCCGCATTGTTTCAAATGATTCTGGAAAAATACTAATAAATTAGTTCTGTTGTCAGCGCTCCGTCACAAGATGGAGCTCCTATTGGACGACCTATTGCGACGACGCGGGGATCCGCTGGATGCAAGCAGCCCAGAACCGATCTTTGTGGCGAAGGTTGGTCCTACCACCAGTAATTACGCAAATTATAATTTTGCGGGTTTGATTTTTATAAAAAAAAAAAAACAAAAAAAGCCATATGTCCAGCAGTGGATGTCTGTGGACTGATAGAATAGAATAATCAGCGCACCCTAATGTAGACAGACATAATATGTTGTGTAGTTGAAATGTTTTTTTTTTATTCCTTATATGGGTGGACGAGCTCACAGCCCATCTAGTGTTATGTGGTTACTGGAGCCCATAGACCATAGACCATAGTAAATCCGCCACCCATTTTGAGATATAAGTTCTAAGGTCTCAGTATGGTGACAACGGCTGCCCCACCCTTCAATCCGAAACACATGATTGATTCACGACAGAAATAGGCGGGTGTACTACCTCGCACGTCAAACCGCTTTTTTTCTCTCAATATAATTGTGGATCATTTCAAAAACTAAGCAAAGCCGGAGTTTTTTGCCGAAATTTAATTAATTTAATTAATTAGTTTCCTTATTTATTACCTGCCCACTTAATACTTTTTTTTTGTGCATAATAAATCATACGACTCACATTAATATTCTTTTTTATTAATAAATCATTGAATTGGCGCAAAATAAATATTTAAAGTTTGACTAATGGAATCGATGTCAGCAAAGAACTACAATCAGATTAGCAAGCTGTCTCCTGGTCGCTCTGGTGAGGTACCAACAGAGACGGACTCAGGGCCGAGGTCAGGAGCCGCGCGTCACTTGGTGAGGTGTACTGGATCGAGTCACTGATCAGACCAACGCCTCAATTAAGCATATTTAAGCCCATCTAATCCTGCTGATCTCAAAAAATTAAACACTTAATCTTGATTAACAAAAATGCTTCCCTGCTGATGCAATTAATCTACCTTAGCTCTTAACAAAGATTACTCTCAAGGCTCATTATATGTATCGGAGATGTCTATAGACGCTGAATTGTTAACTAGGCGCAACCTTCGATGACTTTATCGCTTCGGTAAAGTCCGGCTGGTGTACGTCCGAGCTGAGTGTAAGAGATTCTTAATTCGATCGATCGAGGAGACTTCTCAATGAGTTATCGCACGAAACGCTAGCCCGGAACTGTCTTAGAACTCGTTTTATAAAAGTACTTTAATCGCCAAATCTTTATATTGTTACGCCGGTAAGAGTAACGTCATCTATCGTCAAATAGTGGAACGAATAACGAAGGATCTGGTAACATCTAGAACGCTTGAGGAGTACAACGCCATCTATTGTCAGATATCGGAAACAATACTAGAAAAGTGTGGAATATTCTCAATAATTCTAGGTATGTGGTATCAGCTATAAAAGCGTTGCAGAGATGGCACGCAGTCAGTTAGTAATCGGAACTACTCGAAGCGAAACAGCGAACGGATCACCTGCAGCGAAGCAGAAGAAGCGAACTGAGAATTTTAAAGTGTTTGTGAAGTGTTTTAAGTGTTGAATAAAGTTTTAGTTTATACTTCGGTGGAATTTTATTTATTCCGAACCCCAGCGCGTATATAATTCTACTGTACGTATGTGACTGAAGTCCTAATAAACGGCTGGACCGATTTGAATGATTTTTTTTTGTATTCGTTCGGGTAGCGCCCTGGATGATTTACATTCACAAATCATCCCAACAGATGGCGCTGCAGTCGGTATCTAGACTATTTATCTATACTGCTACTAAAAGACTGGATCGACTTGAGTGAATTTTTGTGTATGCATTCACAGGACATCGTCTGTCGGGTCCGCTAGTAAAGTATAGTTATCAGAGTAAATTATTTCCTGCTCAATACGTACTCTGAACCCCAGTAACAACTTAACACCAAGTGGGCTGTGAGCTCGTCCAAACAACTAAGCAACAAAAAAAAATTTCACCATCGACGCCTTTTACGGCGTTGGTATTGCTGATACAAGTGATTCTGACAGATTTTTTTTATGACATTAAAACATTGTACTGAACTGAGACCTTAGAACTCATGTCTCAAGGTGGGTGGCGGCATTACGTTGTAGATGCCTTTGGGCTCCGGTAACCACTTAACACTAGGTCGCCCGTGAGTGTAGGAGTTACTAGTGGTAGGACCTCTTGTGAGTCCGCACGGGTAGGTACCACCGCCCTGCCTATTTCTGCCGTGAAGCAGTAATGCGTTTCAGTTTGAAGGGTAGGGCAGCCGTTGTAACTATACTTGAGACTTTAGAACTTATATCTCAAGGCGGGTGGCGCATTTACGTTGTGGATGCCTCTGGGCTCCGGTAACTACTTAACACCAGATCGCCCACCCACCCATCTAACTAATAAATAAAAAAACATTACGTTACAAAAATATGCTAATATTTTTATTTACACGTGCTAAGTTGGGAACTTGACCTCTAAACCCATACTTATACTTAACGCGTTGTTAAGTATAGGAAGCCCATGAACATAGCTAAGCGAACGGCCCTACCCATCATCGAGCACACGCGCAATCCGTCCTTCGATGAAAGATAACATTTCGCAACGTTTTGTTATCAATCGATACAACGGAGCGTTATCGACAACAACAACTGATATTGACTTATAATGAATTCATTCCACGCATTTTACTTATTGTCTTGATAAGCTGAGTGTGAGCTCGATCCTGAAAACGAGACAGGTGGCAGTTTTTTTTCCTACCTAAGCTGAGAGCCTTGAGAGGCTATTTCAGCGTAACCTTAACTAGTAGGTGAGCTCACGGGGCTCAAGCCTGACGACATTGCTAACACAAACCCTAGCAAGAGCCGTGCTTCGCAGAATCTACTACCGGATCGGAAACGCGACCCACTGAGAAGATCCGGCGAGAAACTCAGTAGGCTGTGTCTGAGGGTTAAAATATGTCAGTACTGGTATATCTAGATATCACATAACATTAACATAACCGAAATAGAAAATTACTATAGTATTTTCATCAGTTTTAGCGAGTTGTTGGCATAAATAAAAACTGTCTTACGGACAAAGACGATATTTATTTTCGTCTTTAATACGCAATACGTACTACGTTTTCGGCTGCAATATCTGCATCCAATATGAGAATAGGCTAATCATCATTCATCATCCTGCCCTTCTCTCAGTTACCTGTGGTCGGCGCAACATGTTTTCTCCTTCCCCACTCTTCTATCATATACCATTTCTTCGCTCACTCCCCTCTTACCCATATCGTCTTTCACGCAATCCATCCATTTCTTCTTAGGTCTACCTCTTCCTCTATATCCTTCCACATTCATAGTTAACACTCTCTTACTAACCTCATTTTCATTTCGTCTCATCACATGTCCATAACATCCCATAGGAATAGGAGAATAGGCTAATAGAGCTAGTTAATCTCTATATATAAAAATGAATTGCTGTTCGTTAGTCTCACTAAAACTCGAAAACGGCTGAACCGATGTGGCTGATTTTGGTCTTGAATTATTTGTGGAAGTCCAGAGAAGGTTTAAAAGGCAGATAAATATGAAAATGATCGGAATTAAATAAAAATAACAATTTGGTTTTTCCTTTGATGTGTCCCCCGTCGGACGGATTGCTTTTGTTTGTTTTAAGTTTATTTTATACAAAAGTTTAGGTATTTTATTTATCGATTGAGGCACTACGAAGTCTGCCGGGTCAGCTAGTAATTAAATAAATTAAATTTATTAAATTAATTTAATAACTTAATTAAATTTATTAAATTACCGTTTATAACAATAGTTAATTATATTTACCTGCAGCTGACCCATTTCGAAGAGTTCATTACAGAAGTAGCAGGGACTTTCGTTAGGATTCTTCTTATTTCCCGACGCGCCGACTCCATTTGCGATAATCCTATTTAAACTCATTTTCGCATAGTTCTCCTGAATAATGTATTCAAACACTCATCATAAAACAACCGTGTACGGGTTTTTTAATAAAAAAATCGTTATTTTTTTAGTAGAATTATCCTTCACCAGGCTTTTCACTAAATGCACTTAACATCGGGTGAACTTGAGAGCTTGGATTCAATAAATAAAGGGTACGACGCAATGGTTTCACTAATTTAGATGAGAATTTAATTGACAGTATACTCTTTGTTGCAGTATCTGAACGAACTCACGGTCTGCAGTGTTTTAAGTGGGCACCGATCATTGATTTTTTAATACCATAAAGGCGTGTATATTCTTAGGAAAACTCCTCCATATTTCGATTAACTATCACACTTAAAATAAGACACGCGTTGTCCGTAACCGAAGATTTAACGTTGTCCTCAATTAGAGCATCAATAGTGAAACAATAACGAGTTTATTAAACTATTTAAAGATATTCTCACAGAAACATGTCAACACCGTTATATCCTTTGTTACAAAATGATTCACGGTTGTTATCTATACCGTAAGCTGATACTGGGCGTTTTCGTGATAACAGATACGTAAATAGTCCGTATCAATTGTGAATCTAGTATTTTCGCTTCAAATGGGTCAAGGTGAACCTAATTTTTTGCGGGATTAGCCAGTGAAGACATAATTTAGAATATCTTGCGCCGAGTGCTCTGAGGAATTGTTCGAGATGATACCGGCATCTCGTTTTCACCATCGCACCGCCCGCCACCGGAGTAGAGTTCATCCATACTACCTGGAGCCACTGCGGTGATCCACAGTGCGTTTCCAGAGGTATTTTTTGCCACGTACCATCCGGCTATGGAGTGAGCTCCCCTCCACGGTGTTTCCCGAGCGCTATGACATATCCTTCTTCAAACGAGGCTTGTGGAGAGTATTAAGCGGTAGGCCGCGGCTTGGCTCTGCCCCTGGCATTGCTGAAGTCCATGGGCGACGGTAACCACTCACCATCAGGTGGGCCGTATGCTCGTCTGCCTACAAGGGAAATAAAAAAAATAATGGGATTTTGCTTGACAGACTCTCATTTCCAAAGTGTGTGACGAAACGATTTATATGAGCGCTTGTGACCACTTAACATCAGTAGAACCGCGTGCTCGTCTTTTAATCTAACCCGATTACTAAAACAGAGTGATGGGCATTTTAGCTCATCTGAATCTCTATGTCATTTGCAATAATAATATTCCAACAATATATTTCGACTATTTAAAATTTAAAGGTCATCTGATATATTTGCATACATTAGCGATTTGAACACAGCTAATATTAAATATCGGTTATGCAACTCGAACATTTCTTTGACAGCTTGCTCTTGACCGGCTTAGTAATTGTCGCACACAGTGTCACAAAGTTGACATAGATCAAAAATATATTTAGGTTATATGCACGCTTTTTTTTTATTGCTTAGACGGATGGACGAGCTTACAGCCCACCTGGTGCTACGCAGTTACTGGAGCCCATAGACATCTACAACGTAAACGCGCCACCCACTTTGGGATATAAGTTCTAAGGTCTCAAATATAGTTACAACGGCTGCCCCACCATTCAAACCAAAACGCATTACCGGTTCACGGCAGAAATAGGCAGGGTGGTGGTACCTATCCGTGCAGACTCATAAGAGGTCCTACCACCAGTAAGAGTTATTATATCCTAAATACACATGGTGTTTAGAGCGTCGACTGTATTTTGGTGCTAGCTTCAATAAAAACTAGATTCGAAGCGAAGGATTTTTATTTTTTGATGTAATATAATTATATCGTAGATCTATTTTTGTTTTATATGTGTCTTTTAAAGGATTTGTTTCTATGTAGCATTTTTATTCTTAGAATACGCCAACCTCTCCTTTTCGGAAATCATCTCCATCCGAAGGTTGACCGGAAGAGATCGTTTTCAGAGAGATAATTCCACCTGTTGTATTTAAATTATAAGTTTGCATATTTTTTCTCATTTACTTATTCAAAACATTTTCGTTATTTTCGTGTAGCTAAGTAAAGTGTCTAGTATTGTATTGCATTATATTGTTACGCGCTGGGGTTCGGATAAATAAAAATTCTACCGAAGTACAAATTAATACAGTATTAACACTTAGATCACTTAACGAATACTTTAAATTTCTCAATTCGCTTCTTCCGCTTCGCTTCAGGTGATCCGTTCGATGTTTCGCTTCGCGTAGTTCCGATTACTAACTGCCTTCGTGCAAGCAAGAGGGGTCGTCGTACCCCCTTGTGGGGGCACGGAACGGGCCTCGAGGCGAACCCCACTGCCCAGGCAGAAGCTCCCTGCCACGTAGGGCAGGGGTGAACTGATGCAAGGAGGAATGAGAGGGATGGTTCGTATTCGCGTTCGGCGCACTCCACATGGACAAAAATATATACATATACATAATACGATTCTGGGCTTGAGTCAGCGGCAGGATGGACGCAGAAGAGGGCACAACCCGGCGCCGACTGTTGTCATCTGGTATTTTTTTTCCCTTACGCTAAGTACTATTAACAACTAAACTAACTAAAACTAACTAGGACTACTATTTACTTTTCACTCAAGATGTGGCCCAGCTTGATGCTTTGTTGAGGGATACACTGGAGACTATTTTAAACGTAAGCTTGGATGACAGACAATGGTGCCAGGCTGTTTTACCTATACGTCATGGCGGCCTGGGGGTGCGACAGATGGAGCGTACTGGGCTCGCTGCTTTCCTGGCTTCGTGTTATGGGGTTGTAGACTTTGTTGCTAAGTTACTGGGTACGAATGGTAATGGATCTACGATTCCGTTTGCGAGCGAGGCTTTGGCGGCTTGGGGCCTTTTATGTCCGAATGAGGCGCTCCCGGTGAACAGGAGCTCGCAGAGGTGTTGGGATGATGTGCTGTGCAAGCTGACTTTATCAACTTTGCTAGGAGACGCCGCTGGAGTTGAATTAGCGCGCCTGAAAGCGGTCTCCAGTCCGGAATCTGGTGCTTGGTTGCAAGCATTGCCTTCACCACAGCTGGGGATACTTCTTGATAATAATTCATTGAGAGTGGCCACAGCTTTGAGACTCGGTTGCAGCATTTGCGAGCCCCATCGATGTGTCTGTGGTAGTATGGTGGATGCCGCCGGGCTGCATGGACTGAGTTGTGTTAGATCGGTTGGCCGCTTCCCGAGACACCATGCACTTAATGATATTATTCGACGTGCTTTGGTCTCCGCAAATATCCCGTGTGTGTTGGAACCACCAGGCCTCAGCAGGTCGGATGGTAAGAGGCCGGATGGTTTGACTCTGATTCCTTGGGAAAAGGGACGCTGCTTGTTATGGGACGCAACCTGTAGCTGTACGTACGCGGCGTGTCATTTATCTGNTTTGATGGTACGATAAACGAATCTTTTGGTTATATTAAAATTTTTCAGTATGTTAAAAATTTGAATTGGCGCGTAACCGCAACGATGCAACGCAATAACTGCAACACGGTCTTCTTTAAGCGTCCACTCCATATTTAAAAATGAGTAAAATTCTAAAAGTATACATTTTTATTTTCATGAACAATTCGAAATTCGAATTGAATAAACCTTTTTGTGGCCAGCATTCTAAAAGAAAAGTTTTTACTGTGTGACAATACTTATGACCTGACTAGTTATATTGCAATTACAATTATGTAGAATAACTCGACCGATGGAATAAAAAAATTGTTTGTTACAGTTAGTTACTGTTCAATTACTTATCCACTCCTAAAAACTTAGTTAAAGTCACTTAATTCACCGGTCTATCCGGGCCACTGTTTTGCAGCTGGCTTCTCAAAGCGGACAGCTGGGCCAGCTGTTCCGAAGACCTGCGCGCCTCCAGCAGTTCCGTATCTAATGCCGCACGATTTTCAGCGTTGCGTTCCCTCTCCTCTTCCACTGTTTGCTTCAAGTATTCAATGACATCCTCTGCAAGTTTACAAACAAACGGATTTTTGCAATGTGTCTAATTTTTGTCTAATGCAAAGGTTATTGGATCTGATGGATTTGTAAGGACGTGCTTAAAGCGTACTAAAGTGGCGGATGAAAGGCGATTGCGTGCAGCAGAGATGCGAATGTTGCGATGGATGTGTGGAGTAACGAGAATGGATAGAATACGGAATGAATATGTTAGAGGAAGTCTGAAAGTGGCACCTGTGACAGAGAAGCTGAGAAGTACGCGTTTGGGATGGTATGGACATGTGATGAGACGAAATGTGATGTGGCTGGTAAGAGAGTGCTAACTATGAATGTGGAAGGATATAGAGGAAGAGGTAGACCTAAGAAGAAATGGATGGATTGCGTGAAAAACGATATCGGTAAGAGGGGAGTGAGCGAAGAAATGGTATATGATAGAAGAATGTGGAAGGAGAAAACATGTTGCACCGACCACAGGTAACTGGGAGAAGGACAGGATGATGATGATGATGATGTGCTTAGAGCGTACCAAGCTTATAAACGGCCCGTATCCTGCTGTCGTGCTGCGTGAGGGCCTGCTCGAGGAGTTCCCTCTCGTTCTGCTCGTGGACCAGACTGCTGACTGCGCTCTCCAAGCGCATCGCAGTTGATAACTGTTGACTTTGAAGCTCCTGTGAAATTTAATAAAAAATTAAGCTTCTCATTTTTAATACGCTTTTATTAGCTTCATGTCGTATGTATGTTTGTAACGGAATCTTTGAACATGATTTTGTCCCCCTTCAAAACGTCGGATTAACTCGAAATTTGGTATACTTATTAACGACCGATGACAATTAAATATTAAAAAAATATTGAAAAATTTAAATTCAACTAAAAAAATTAAAAATAAATAATAGTTTAAAAAAACTAACAAAATACGCTTTTATAGAAAATCCTACTAAAAAATAGAAAATAAATTTTAATAAATTAGAATTTAAAATAGTGTAAGAAAAAATGATTTTATTGTTAAAAAAGCGTGGGGTGCATGGTATCAGTAGTTCTAAATGATTTATGAACAGATTTGAGTAGAAGGGGTATTTTGATAATATCCTGAAAAGCACCCCACGCTTTTTTACAATAAAATCATTTTTTGTTACACTATTTTTAAATCAAATTTATTAACATTTTTTGTTTTGATAAGTATATGACATAACTACCTACCTAATTCATCGCACGAAGGTTTGCTTGATGTGGGAAACGAACCTTTAGTATTGGTGGTAGGACCTCTTGTGAGTCCGCACGTGTAGGTACCACCACCCTACCTATTTCTGCCGTGAAGCAGTAATGCGTTTCAGTTAGAAGGGTGGGGCAGCCGTTGTAATAATACTTGAGACCTAAGAACTTATCTCAAGGTATGTGGCGCATTTACGTTGTAGATGTCTATGGGCTCCTGTAACCACTTAACACCAGGTGAGCTGGAGCTCGTCCAACCATATAAGCAAAAAAAACCAACTACCCTTAGCGCAACATTCAATCATTATTACCTGTAAAGCTATCTGGACGTTGGCTAAGTCATGTTTGAACTGTGCAGCCCAGTTAGCGGAACGACTGGCCTCATCATCCACGGCCGCTCTCAGAGACACCAGGGTCGACAGGAAATGCTGAGTCCGTTCTTCGACCAGCACCAACTTAGAGCGAATCGTCTCCATCTCTGTAGACTGGATGTCGCGGTGACTACTCTCTTCTGTTATCACTAGCCTGAAGGAGAGATTACCAAAAAAAAATTTTTACTCTCGATACTAGCACATCATGGAGAACGCTCAACGCCTGCCTAACACCTGTCTGCAACGCATAATGCGCTACTTTGGCCACGTTACCCGCAGAGGTGTAGACAACTTGGAACGTCTGATGGTCACGGGAAAAGTAGAAGGAAAGCGTCCTAGAGGCCGGGGCCCCAAACGTTGGTCCGCCCAGATCTCCGAGCAAACCAGCGGACCACTTAGCGCTGCACTACACCAGGCAAACCACGTCATCTCGGATCCTCCCGATCCACTAACGGTGCTTTTAGGTACTTCAAGCACCGGTCACCGTTCTCGTTGAACCCGTCGCTTGCGACGAAGGGCTCGACGAGTAAATTAACCCTCAGACACAGCCCACTGAGTTTCTCGCCGGATCTTCTCAGTGGGTCGCGTTTCCGATCCGGTGGTAGATTCTGCGAAGCACGGCTCTTGCTAGGGTTCGTGTTAGCAACGTCATCAGGTTTGAGCACCTTGAGCTCACCTACAAACGTTAGGGTTACGCTGAAATGAGCCTCTAAGGCTATCAGCTTAGGTAGGGAAAAAAACCACCAGGTAACTGACCGGAACCGATGGCGACTGGCAGTCGACAAGCTGAAACGGAGTCACGATTCTCAGCAATGAGGGAGTGATGGAGAAGAAGAAGACTAGTACATCAGCATGCAGGACAATTGGTAGTGCGTCTTATCGTCTCTCGTTCAAGATTTTATCGCATTGATTTGTGAACAATCTTACGAGCTGCAGTTAAGTACCCACTCCAGCCCTTTCTTCTTCAATACCATCATCCACGTTGGTAAATGTGGTCGATTTCACATAATACCCCCTACCAGTAATTAAGCAAATTTTATAACATGGTAAGCCTCAAATCGAACCTGTGGAGAATTCGATCTAAATACAGGAGAGAACACAGCGCGATGTGATCTCAGAGCAATGACAACTTAAACCATGTTTGAACATGCGGTTCAACGGTGGTCTGGCTATACACTAGGTATTACCGAAGCCTATACAACCTGTGAAAGCTACGAGCCATTAATAATAATTATTATGTATTTATATCTCTCTTGAAGGTATAGTACAAATACAAATAGTACAATAATTTATTTTGTTAGCCTTTGAAAGAGCTGAAGTAGGTACTAGCTTCAAAGACCTGCATTACTGATCTCCAGACTTCCTCCTTCTTAGGATAGATTAGGTTAGGTTAAGTCGCTATCACCGCTACTCTCCTTGAGACATGAGGTCGAAATATGAATCGTTTCGAATAACTGGTATTGTAGTCCTAAATTAGAACACAGGATTGCCTGAGCGAGATCTCAATGCTTCCTACAAATCTATACTATTCAAATGCCAATTTTACTCATCATGATACTGACTTGATGTTAGCGACTTCTTTCTCAAGGTACGAGACGCAGTCTTCCAGAGGTACAGATCTCGGAGACCAGGTGTGGACGGAGGCTGGTGGTACAGGTGGGGCAGGGGCTGGCATGCTGGCGTGACTCGGAGATGTAGAGTTGCGAGCCTAGCGGCAAAAAGACAAAATTTAAACCCAAAACAATGATTTTTCTTTTTAATTGCATCAATGCCTTAAAGAGTAGACTGTCCATTCGATCTGGTTGTTGTAGCCCATAGACATTAATGTGAATTACACTAAATATCGTGAAATCGATGACTTGATTATATCGTATCGAGAAGTGGATCAATTCTTTGATCACATGTCCGATGTTTGGAAATTAAAACGTTTACTTTCAGAAATGAATACGTTGCTTATTCAGTTTTTTATTCGATACATTGAACCCGCAAAATTATAATTTGCGCAATTACTGATGGTAGGACCTCTTGTGAGTCCGCATGGGAAGGTACCACCACCCGCCTATTTCTGCCGTGAATCAGTAATGTATTTCGGTTTGAAGGGCGGGGCAGCCATTGTAACTATTCTGAGACCTTAGAACTTATATCTCAAGATGGGTGGCGCATTTACGTCGTAGATGTCTATGGGCTCCAGTAGCCACTTAACACTAGGTGGGCTGTGAGCTCGTCCACCCACCTAAGCAATAAATAAAAAAGCGTTATGTACCTTCTCCATTTGCGGGCATTCCCTGACATGCGTGTCCTTGTGTTTCCTCTGTATCCACGCGCCACAGCGCAGAGGACACTGTTCCAGGATACTGCCGCATTGTTTCAAATGATTCTGGAAAAATACTAATAAATTAGTTCTGTTGTTAGCGCTTCGTCACAGGATGGAGCTCCTATTGGACGACCTATTGCGACGACGAGGGGATCCGCTGGATGCATGCAGCCCAGGACCGATCTTTATGGCGAAGGTTGGTCCTACCACCAGTAATTACGCAAATTAGAACTTTGCGGGTTTGATTTTTATAAAAAAAAAAAACAAAAAAAAAAGTCATATATCCAGCAGTGGATGTCTGTGGATTGATAGAATAGAATAATCAGCGCACCCTAATGTAGACAGACATATGTTGTGTAGTTGAAATGTTTTTTTTTTATTCCTTATATGGGTGGACGAGCTCACAGCCCATCTAGTGTTATGTGGTTACTGGAGCCCATAGACCATAGAACATAGTAAATCCGCCACCCATTTTGAGATATAAGTTCTAAGGTCTCAGTATAGTTACAACGGCTGCCCCATCCTTCAATCCGAAACGCATGACTGATTCACGGCAGAAATAGGCGGGTGTACTACCTTGCACGTCAAACCGCTTTTTCTTCTCTCAAAATAATTGTGGATCATTTCAAAAACTAAGCAAAGCCGGAGTTTTTTGCCGAAATTTAATTAATTTAATTGATTAGTTTCCTTATTTATTACCTGCCCACTTAATACTTTTTTTTTGTGCATAATAAATCATACGACTCACATTAATATTCTTTTTTATTAATAAAGGATCATTGAATTGGTACAAAATAAATATTTAAAGTTTGACTAATGGAATCGATGTCAGCAAAGGACTACAATCAGATCAGCAAGCTGTCTCCTGGTCGCTCTGGTGAGGTACCAACAGAGACGGACTTAGAGCCGAGGTCAGGAGCCGCGCGTCACTTGGCGAGGTGTACTGGATCGAGTCGCTGATCAGACCAACGCCTCAATTAAGCATATTTAAGCCCATCTAATCCCACTGATCTCAAAAAATAAAACACTTAAGCTTGATTGACAAAAATGCTACCCTGCTGATGCAATTAATCTACCTTAGCTCTTTACAAAGATTACTGTCAAGGCTTATTATATGTATCAGAGATGTCTATAGACGCTGAATTGTTAACTAGGCGCAACCTTCGGTGACTTTATCGCTTCGGTAGAGCCCGGCTGGTGTACGTCCGAGCTGAATGTAAGAGATTCTTAATTCGATCGATCGAGGAGACTTCTCAATGAGTTATCGCACGAAACGCTAGCCCAGAGCTGTTTTAGAACTCGTTTTATAAAAGTACTTTAATCGCCAAATCTTTATATTGTTACGCCGGTAAGAGTAACGCCATCTATCGCCGAATAGTGGAACGGATATCGAAGGATCTAGTAACACCTAGAACGCTCGCGGAGTACAACGCCATCTATTGTCAGATATCGGAAAAACACAATACTCGAAATGTGTGGAATATTCTCGATAATTCTAGGGATATGATATCGGCTATAAAAGCGTTGTAGAGATGGCACGCAGTCAGTTAGTAATTGGAACTACTCGAAGCGAAACTGCGAACGGATCACCTGAAGCGAAGAGGAAAAAGCGAACTGAGAATTTTAAAGTGTTTGTGAAGTGTTTTAAGTGTTGAATACAGTTTTAATTTACGCGCGTAACAATACGTATATATAATTCTACTGTACATATTGACATATTATGTCACTGAACTCCTCCTAAACGGCTGGTCCGATTTGAATGAATTGTTTTTGTATGCGTTTGGGTAGCGCCGTGGATGGTTAAGATTCACAAATTAGCCCGATATATACTATATATACTATTATAAATAGTATATATATATATATATATACTATTTATCTATACTGCAACTAAACGGTTGGATCGACTTGAATGAATTTTTGTGTATGCATTCACAGGACAACGTCCGTCGGATCCGCTAGTAAAGTATAGTTATCAGAGTAAATTAATTATTTCCTGCTCAATACGTACTCTGAACCCACACAATACGTTTCCCGGAGAAGAGCACAGCAACAAAAGTCAAACCCGCAAAATTATAATTTGCGTAATCACTGGTGGTAGGACCTCTTGGGAGTCCGCACGGGTAGGTACCACCACCTCACCTATTTCCGCCGTGAAGCAGTAATGCGTTTCGGTTCGAAGAGTGGGGTAGCCGTTGTAACTATACTGAGACCTTAGAACTTATATCTCAAGGTGGGTGGCGCATTTACGTTGTAGATGTCTATGGGCTCCAGTAACCACTTAACACCAAGTGGGCTGTGAACTCGTCCACACATCCAAGCAAAAAAAAAAAAAAAATTCACCATCGAAGCCTTTTACGGCGTTGGTATTGCTGATACAAGTGATTCTGACAGATTTTTTTTATGACATTAAAACATTGCACTGAACTGAGACCTTAGAACTCATGTCTCAAGGTGGGTGGCGGCATTACGTTATAGATGCCTTTGGGCTCCGGTAACCACTTAACACCAGGTTGCCCGTGAGTGTAGGAGTTACTGGTGGTAGAACCTCTTGTGAGTCCATGCGCATAGGTACCACCACCCTGCCTATTTCTGCCGTGAAGCAGTAATGCGTTTCGGTTTGAAGGGTGGGGCAGCCGTTGTAGCTATACTTGAGACTTTAGAACTTATATGTCAAGGCGGGTGGCGCATTTACGTTGTGGATGCCTCTGGGCTCCGGTAACCACTTAACACCAGATCGCCCGTCAGCTCGTCCACCCACCTAAGCAATACAATTAAAAAAACATGACGTTACAAAACTATGCTAATATTTTTATTTACACGTGCTAAGTTGGGAACTTGACCTCTAAACCCATACTTAATACTTAACGCGTTGTTAAGTATAGGAGCCCATAGCTAAGCGAACGGCCCTACCCATCATCGAGCACACGCGCAATCCGTCCTTCGATGAAAGATAAAATTTCGCAACGTTTTGTTATCAATCGATACAACGGAGCGCTATCGACAACAACAACTGATATTGACTTATAATGAATTCATTCCACGCATTTTACTTATTGTCTTGATAAGCTGAGTGTGAGCTCAATCGATCCTGAAAACGAAGAGAGGTGGCAATACCGATGAATCTAGATATCACATAACATTGACATAATCGAAATAGAAAATTACTATTTTAATGTTAGGTGCCCGACTGGTATGAGACTCTCGGGTTGTCAGTTCCGGTATCAACCGGGGACGCGTGTTTTCCGCTTCAAAGTCTGGCGTCAAATATATTAAGTATATAATCTATGGTCTGGCGCGCGCTAATTGGGAGTGCAAATGGTGCAATAGATGCGCGGGCGCGGGTAGCGCGGGGTGGGTCGTCGCGGCACGGACCTGAGTCACAATCCCTTTGGCTACTTTTGCCCCGCGAAACGGAACGCTGCGTTACACTATAGTATTTTCATCAGTTTTAGAGAGTTGTTGGCATATAAATAAAAACTAGTCTTACGGATAAAGACGATAATTATTTTCATTTTAACTACGCAAGTACGTACTACGTTTTCGGTTGCAATATCTGCATCCAATATGAGAATAGACTAATCATCATTCATCATCCTGCCCTTCTCTCAGTTACCTGTGGTCGGCGCAACATGTTTTCTCCTTCCACACTCTTCTATCATATACCATTTCTTCGCTCACTCCCCTCTTACCCATATCGTCTTTCAGGCAATCCATCCATTTCTTCTTAGGTCTACCTCTTCCTCTATATCCTTCCACATTCATAGTTAACACTCTCTTACCAACCTCATTTTCATTTCGTCTCATCACATGTCCATACCATCCCATAGGAATAGAAGAATAGGCTAGTAGAGCTAGTTAATCTCTATATATAAAAATGAATTGCTGTTCGTTAGTCTCGCTAAAACTCGAGAACGGCTGAACCGATGTGGCTGATTTTGGTTTTGAATTATTTGTGGAAGTCCAGAGAAGGTTTAAAAGGTAGATAAATATGAAAATAATCGGATTTAAATAAAAATAACAATTTTGTTTTTCCTATAATGTGTCCCCCGTCGGACGGATTGCTTTTGTTTGTTTTAAGTTTATTTTATACAAACATTTAGGTATTTTATTTATCGATTGAGGCACTACGAAGTCTGCCGGGTCAGCTAGTAAATAAATAAATTAAATTTATTCAATTTATTAAATTTATAAACTTTATTAAATTGCTTTAATAACTTAATTAAATATATTACATTACGGTTTATAACAATAGTTAATTGTATTTACCTGCAGCTGACCCATTTCGAAGAGTTCATTACAGAAGTAGCAGGGACTTTCGTTAGGATTCTTCTTATTTCCCGACGCGCCGACTCCATTTGCGATAATCCTATTTAAACTCATTTTCGCATAGTTGTACTGAATAATGTATTCAAACACTCATCATAAAACAACTGTGTACGGGTTTTTTAATAAAAAAAAATCGTAATTTTTTTAGTAGAATTCACAAGGCTTTTCACTAAATGCACTTAACATCGGGTGAACTTGAGAACTTAGATTCAATAAATAAAGGGTACGTCGCAATGGTTTCACTAATTTAGATGAGAATTTAATCGACAGTATACTCTTTTTTGCAGTATCTTAACGAACTCACGGTCTGCAGTGTTTTAAGTGGGCACCGATCATTGATTTTTTAATACCATAAAGGCGAGCATATTCTCAAGAAAATTCCTCCATATTTCGATTAAATATCACACTTAAAATAAGACGCGCGTTATCCGTAACCAAAGATTTAACGTTGTCCTCAATTAGAGCATCAATAGTGAAACAATAACGAGTTTATTAAACTATTTAAAGATATTCTCACTGAAACATGTCAACACCGTTATATCCTTTGTTACAAAATGATTCACGGTTGTTATCTATACCGTAAGCTGATACTGGGCGTTTTCGTGATAACAGATACGTAAATACTCCGTATCAATTGTGAATCTAGTATTTTCGCTTCAAATGGGTCAAGGTGAACCTAATTTTTTGCGGGATTAGCCAGTGAAGACATAATTTAGAATATCTTGCGCCGAGTGCTCTGAGGAATTGTTCGAGATGATACCGGCATCTCTTTTTCACCATCGCACCCCCCGCCACCGGAGTAGAGTTCATCCATACTACCTGGAGCCACTGCGGTCATCCACAGTGCGTTTCCAGAGGTATTTTTTGCCACGTACCATCCGGCTATGGAATGAGCTCCCCTCCACGGTGTTTCCCGAGCGCTATGACATATCCTTCTTCAAACGAGGCTTGTGGAGAGTATTAAGCGGTAGGCAGCGGCTTGGCTCTGCCCCTGGCATTGCTGAAGTCCATGGGCGACGGTAACCACTCACCATCAGGTGGGCCGTATGCTCGTCTGCCTACAAGGGAAATAAAAAAAATGGGATTTTGCTTGACAGACTCTCGTTTCCAAAGTGTGTGACGAAACGATTTATATGAGCGCTTATAACCACTTAACATCAGTAAAACCGCGTGCTGGTCTTTCAATCTAACCCGCTTACTAAAACAGAGTGATGGGCATTTTAGCTCATCTGAATCTCTGTCAGTTGTAATAGTAATATTCCAACAAAATTTTTGACTATTTCAAATTTAAAGGTCATCTGATATATTTGCATACATTAGCGATTTGAACACAGCTAATATTAAATATCGGTTATGCAACTCGAACATTTCTTTGACAGCTTGCTCTTGACCGGCTTAGTAATTGTCGCACACAGTGTCACAAAGTTGACATAGATCAAAAATATATTTAGGTTATATGCACACTTTTTTTTTATTGCTTAGTAGGATGGACGAGCTCACAGCCCACCTGGTGTTACGCAGTTACTGGAGCCCATAGACATCTACAACGTAAACGCGCCACCCACTTTGGGATATAAGTTCTAAGGTCTCAAGTATAGTTACAACGGCTGCCCCACCATTCAAACCGAAACGCATTACCGGTTAACGGCAGAAATAGGCAGGGTGGTGGTACCTATCCGTGTGGACTCACAAGAGGTCCTACCACCAGTGGTTACGCAAAATTTTATTTTGCGGGTTCGATTTTTATTACACAACGTTATAAATTCATTATTTGACGTGTTTGTCATCCTGTTAGATTTGTCGTCTGTGCCCATTTACGGTAATACTCTCTACATACCGGATCTTCTCAGCGGGTCGCGATTCCGATCCGGTAGTAGATGCTTTCGCGAAGCAGCCCTTAGGCTGTTAGATCTCTTTCGGAGGCGCTCGGGCAGCTGTTAGCAAATCCCACCCCTCCTAGCTGATTATTTGCTGGCCCACCAGTCCTGGTGAAACTGAAAAGGCGGCACTGCAAAGGCCGGGCCACCAGCAATTCTTCCTTCATAAAAAAACGATGAAAAAAAAATGAGACGAAAATTATTTTATACCATTCACCCCGATTTCAATGGTATATTGTATCATCATGCCAAAATTTATATTTCAATCATTTCTAAAAAGCATTAAACTGTTCAAAAGATGAGCAAGTTCAGTGTTTTTTTTTTATAAAAAAAAATGACTCGAAAGCCTTACGCATTGATTTTGCTAATGTCACAGTAGACACAAAAATTACAGGTGCTTAGAGACAAAAAAATCTAAAATTTAGATTGAATTTATAGAAGCTGATAAATATGTGATGATGATGATATATATGATGAACTGTATAAATACAAATAAATTTGATCAGTTTTTTCATACGCGAATCTGTGGTTTTAAGCAAGTTTAGTAACTGCTAATTAATTACACTGTGAAGTTCACTAATGTGACGCCGGGTGACGTATTACATAAACTTGCGCTAGACAATCGTGCTTTTTGTTGCAGCTTTCGTAAGTTACATTTGTGATCTTTACGACAACATGCGTACTGTTTATAGAGTAGACAGAGATGTAATATCAATATCAAACGGCAAATAACTTTTTTGCTGCAACAGTTTCTACCTGTGCTGACTGGAAAAGTTTAAGCTTAAAGCTTTATTAATCGATTTAAAATAGAAATTGGGCAAGAGAATAGAGAGTTATAAAGCAGGGAGAAGGATATAGATACGTTATAAATCGAAGCGTTTTGTTTAAAAGAATCATACTAGGAAACACAAGTAAAAACAAAAGGTATTCAAGCTCTACTGATTATAACGAAATCCGGATTAATTTGCGATGAAATGATGCTGGGTGCTAGGTGCTAGGTGATTTCACCATCAGGTAGAACCAAGGGCGGATCCAGCTTTGGTGCCAGGAGGGGGTCACATAGTCATGGTCAAGTCAAGAACTTATAATTTAATTTTGATAACAATAGATACAAGTGAAAAGTAGGTATTTTATTCATGTACGTAAGTACTGTACTTAAAAATATTTATTCTTTATTGTACACTTGAAAAACTTAACACATAATAACTTGTACATATACACGTAGGTACATATTGTCATCTTCTCTTGAAGACATCCAGAGAAGCACTATCACGCCCGGAATGAGGCAGCTTATTTATATTCCATAACCGTGGTCCTAAAATCATTATGTTCAATATGTGGTCCACCTGGAACCAGCTCAGGAGGGGGTCATGACCATGACCCCCTCCTGGATCCGCCCTTGGGTAGAACCATCGATTCGAAGATGTGCTGCCTGCAGCTGATAAGACCGGAGTAAGAAATGGAGAAAAACTTTTATTCAACAGAAATGATCAGGTTTTTCATCATGCCATCACCAGATCACACAAATTAGCCGCTCGATTATTATTAAGAGAGCTTTATTGGAAAGTGTGAATGCGGCTTAGAGCATGTTTTAGTTTCCTCAGAATTCTTTAGGAAGTTCTCAGGTAACTGAAGGAGCCTTCAAAACTGCTTGTCGCATTTTTGGAGCAGAAGTCCCAAAATCTCTACACCATTGGAATTATGTTAGTACCTACAAAATGGCAAGTTATATAATTGAATAGTCAAATGTAACGAATACAAAAAATAATAATTTGCTTAGTAAATCTGGGAAAAACATTGTGCGACCTATTATTTAAATGTATAAAAATATTCACTGTCTCCTGAAATACAAGGCCTAGATTGGGGCCCGATAGTCTGTATATATAAAAATGAATTGCTGTTCGTTAGTCTCGCTAAAACTCGAGAACGGCTTGACCGATTTAGCTAATTTTAGTCTTGAATTATTTGTGGAAGTCCAGAGAAGGTTTAAAAGGTAGATAAATATGAAAATGCTCGGAATTAAATAAACATAACAATTTTGTTTTTCCTTTGAAGTGTTCCCCGTCGGACGGATTCCTTTTGGGTGCTTTAAGTTTATTTTATACAAAACTTTAGGTCTTTTATTTATCGATTGAGGCACTACGAAGTCTGCCGGGTCAGCTAGTTCATTTATAAATAATTTATAGTACAACATGCAATATGTAACAAGGTCATATTTTTAATAGCGGCCGATGAGGCAAACGGAGGATTCGCTGACTACAGCACTCAACGTAATTATACTACTCGCAACAATATGCTTACACTTAACAGAAAATTTAGATTTACAGACAAGTCATAACTGCCAACTTTGTACAGCCGTTAACAAAAAATGATGACACAAAAAAAAGAAACTTAAAACTTTATTGGATTCTTTAAAAATACAACAGAAAAAAAAATAGGGAAACACAAAAATATCGAATCGAGAACGTCCGCCTTCTACTGGTTTAAGACGCACCAGTAATCACATAAATTGTAATTTTTGTGGGTTTGATTTACACTACTGTTTGGTTATTATTCGTTCGTCATGGAAATCACTCGTGAACATTTATTCCTCCTCCTCCTGGCGTCGATAATCCTCAATCCTAAGGGTCGTGGCCTCATGAAGCTTTCATCTGAAAATACACATGGTGGGTTCCCGCGTGCAATGCTTTTGGAAGAGATGTAGCTCTTCAAGGCCGCTGAAGCCTTGGGTCCGGCTAATTAGCCGCCGCCAGACATTCGGCGTTGACTGTTTTACGGTGGAGAGATCGAACTCTAACTCAACCCTCCCCTTTTCTCATCCGGGCTTGGGACCGGCATTGGCATAGTTAAAAGTACGTATTTCATTTTAGTTTTAGTGATATTTTATTACAGTTTATGTGAAATTTTTAGGTCAGGACAGTGATGTAGGCTACCTTTTATGCCACGGAAGACTACGCTGATACTTTTCCTTGGTCACGCGAGCGAAACCCCGGATAACAACAGCTAGTAACTATATAAATTAAAATTTTATCGAAAATAAAACATTATAAAGAATCTTAAAATGAGAAATGAGAACCGATAAAATCTGATGTCAAACATAAATAGCACTGAGGAATTGCAGACAAGCTTTGTGATCAGATTCACAGAAACATCTTCAAAAATCAATAAAACTTAATCAAGCTGACGATGAATATGACATGTGTGGTTTTTTATTTACATACCAAAAGTCTACAGCCTTAGAACCTTCATCAACAAGTCAGCAATACGACGAAATCCAAAGTGATAAAAATAACAAAACCCCGTGCAGTCAAAAACACGATGAAAAAGGTATTTGATTTATAACCTTTTTGTTAGAATCTACCGCAGAATAATCTCACAGAATAAATGTAATAAAAAAACGAACGTGCTAACGACAAAATTACAATTATGGTCCTCTGGCTAGACCCCCTTTTTTCATACCTATGCCGATAGCCTTGAGAGCTATATCAGCTTCTCCTTGACGTGTAGATGAGCTCACGGGGCTCAAGCCGGGTGTGTTGCTAACACTGGCCCTAGCAAGAGCAATGCTTCACAGAATCTACCATCGGATCGGAAACGCGACCCACTGAGAAGATGCGGCGAGAAACTCAGTGGGCTGTGTCTATGGGTTAATTTCCCCGTGAGTTCACCTACTTGCCGGGGAAACTAGTATGACCCACCGAGGTCAGTAGAATAGGTAGGAAAAAAAAACAATTATGATTTTATGTTCGGAATCGAAAAATGAAGACTTCGCATATTTAAAAGAACGCTATCATTCAAAAAGAAATCAAAAAGCGAATATCACATACTTAAAAACGAAGTTTTTCGCATTTTTTTAATCTAGAAGCATCTATCAGGTGCTATCAACCTATCAGTTGTTGCCGCAAACTGTTTAGGACGTGACCTTCTATTTGCGGGCATTAACAGCTTAGCATCTAATTATGGAAGTTCACATTAGGATACAATGTTCACACAAGGATATATTTATATTACGAAGGCTATTAGAGCTAAGATTTAAAATCATAGTTTTCGCCCAATTGTCTATATTCGACAATAGCCAGTGACATCTCAAGATTTCGATTCATTTTATGTTATAACCTCTTTTTGTATAGCTATTGACATATAAAAATAAAAACAAAGACATATGCTGGTCAAAAGAGATAAAGAATTGAAACTTGGTTGGAAAATAGCATAGAAAATGGTACTTAAATCGATTGTTTTTTTTTCTACATATTTATATAAACGTAAATAGCATTGCAAATCTAAAACATGCAACAGGTCTCCCAAACCAGACTCTGTTGAAAATTTCACACTAAGTCGCCTAAGTTCTGAGTCCTCGTGGCCTAAAGAATAAGACACCCGGTGCATTCGTATCAAGCGATGCAACGGTGTTCGAATCCCGCAGGTGGGTACCAATTTTTCTAGTGAAATACGTCATAATAATATGTCATACGTCAATACGAACAAATGTCCACGATTGACTACCACGGTGAAGGAATAACATCGTGTAATAAAAATCCAACCCGCAAAATTATAATTTGCGTAATTACTGGTGGTAGGACGTCTTGTGAGTCCGCCCGGGTAGGTACCACCACCCTGTCTATTTCTGCCGTGAAGCAGTAATGCGTTTCGGTTTGAAGAGTGTGGCAGCCGTTATACTGTAAAAACGGAGACTTAGAACTTATGTTTCGAGGTGGATGGCGATATATACGTTGTAGATGTTTAGGGTTCCAGTAACCACTTCACACCACGGCCATGCGCTTATTTACCCATCTAAGCAATAAAAAACACTAGATAAGAGGGCTTGCGAGCGAGGCTTTACTTAAAAATAATCATATCTGTATTTACAAATCTATATATATAAAAATGAATTGCTGTTCGTTAGTCTCGCTAAAGCTCGAGAACGGCTGGACCGATTTGGCTAATTTTGGTCTTGAATTATTTGTGGAGGTCCAGAGAATGTTTAAAAGATAGATAAATATGGAAATGCTCGAAAAATATAGCAATTTTGTTTATCCTTTGATGTGTCCCCCGTCGGACGGATTCCTTTTGTTTGTTTTAAGTTTATTTTATACAAAAGTTTAGATATTTCATTTATCGATTGAGGCACTACGAAGTCTGCCGGGTCAGCTAATAATAAATATAATCAATTAGATTTTAAAATGACGAATTTCAAAAATGAAAACCGTGAATATCCGACCTTATGTCCGGAATACCGAGGAGGCTAGTGCTTAAACACAGCCTTCGTCAGTCGCGAGCGCTTCGTAACAGTGAAGCAACCTTCGCTTCAGTACCTTATTGCTGTCCGCGGGTGACAGACGTGTGCTTCCGTTCACAAATTCACTGGAAACGCATCGAAAGAACAAAAACGCATGGTGTTCTGTGAAGTGTGACGGAGAAATTTTTAAAACGATTTTTCTTGTTGTAAGTACAGCTTAATTTTTTAGTTGAATGTGATTTCGCATGCAGGAAAGAAACGGACGTACTGGGTCTCCTATCTTCTCCTAGATAAGAGATATACCGCGGTATACCGCCAGAACTTGGTTGTTTTACGGATTCATGAATTTTTCAAAATTCCCGGCAACCTTATCAATTTTGGTATCCCTCAAAATCTTGTTCGGACTAATGCAATACGTTTTCAACAGAACCAAAATAGGTTCAGCTATTTTCAATTTACAAACAGAATTTTTTACTGATAAAGTTCAAACTAATCATGAATTTATTGTCGAATCCAGAAATGAGACCGTATATAGAAAAATTGTTTTTTTTTTATTAACTATATATTTAATTTGGCAAATTATTTTAATTGAACTCTATATCTTTATGAAATACTTATATTGGTGGATATATATTTACTGGTGGTAGGACCTCTTGTGAGTCCGCGCGGGTGGGTACCACCACCCTGTCTATTTACGCCGTGAAGCAGTAATGCGTTTCGGTTTGAAGGGTGGGGCAGCCGTTGCAACTATACTTGAGACCTTAGAACTTATATCTTAAGGTGGGTGTCGCATTTACGTTGTAGATGTCTATGGGCTCCAGTAACCACTTAACACCAGGTGGGTTGGGAGCTCGTCGACCCATCTAAGCAATAAAAAAATAAAGTAAAAAAAATTGGAAAAGTTTACTATATATGTATTTTTACTGTGTGAAATGTGACTTGTGTATGTACTAATTAGTGCAAATAAACAATTTCTCTTAGATCAGCGACAGCAAGCATTTTTTAATAGCCTTGTAGGTGGACAAGCATTCGGCCCACCTGATGTTAAGTGGTTGTCGTCGCTCATGGACTTCGCAATGCTAGGAGCAGGGCCAAGCCTCTTCCTACCGATAAATACTCATTACAAGCTTCGTTTGAAGAAGGACTCTCTTGATATAAATACTTCTGGATGTCATACAGTCGAGAATTGATACATAACGCGTTTTTTTGTTTGCAAACTTACACAAATTGAACCCTATATTAAAAATATCCGTAACATAATGTACAGTAGACTGGATGGAATAGCAACTAGAGGTAGAATAGGGACAAATCTAGGATGTCACAATACTTTTGTTGAGTTGTTAGATTTAGCTTTGTTGAACTGAAAATTAATTTTATTTTGTGTTTAATAATATTAAATAGTTTAACTTAGTCATCAAAGTTTTGTAACTCATTAAAGATATTAAAAAATTAATTACCTAAAGTTTAGGTACCTACCTTACAATTAAATAGTGCCATCCCTAGCGAAAAACTCTATTAACCCCTCAACCGACCCGATTCACCCCAACGCCTGGGTAAATAGGAACAAGTGAATTTTTGTAACTTTCTATGATTATTCTTTAATAAACTATATCTTAATGCATTGTAAATGAAAATTTAAATTACCGGAACTATTATGATCTCTGTTTTATTACTATATCTACAAAAAAACGATTTAAATCAATGTCGAACTTAAAAAGACTCCCGATTCCCCCCATTTTACGGTATGTTGACAAATGCACACGCAGACTTGACAGTCAACCTGTTATCGTCATGATCAACGATTGAATTTAAAGCAGACAAGCAAATTGTCCCAAGTGACGGGCATTGGTGAATTTTGTGACACATAGTGTTTGACCTTCTGAGAATTATGTGTTGGACGTGCTCACAGCGTCAATGAACATAAGCCGTACTGTTCCACAGAATGTGTTTAAAGTCGTTGGTTTGATATTTGTGTGTATTATGTTAGCATTATGCTATAAGAATAGTTCTTTGACCCAAGCTTGAGGTACCTAAAGAGCACAAATGCGTTTCGGTATGAAGGGTGGAGAGTTAACAACCGTTGGGTGGTCCGCCTATCTCAGTTAAGACTTAAAAAAAACGCCAACTCTCCATTTACCATTAGGTGGGCGGTAGGTTCGTCTGGCTTCAAAGGCAAAAAAAGTAATTACAAAAATGAGTATTTGTCACTAAGGCTGTGCACACATGAACTATTCATACGACTAATTTAAAACTTTATACATATACTAGCTGTACACGTCCGCTTCGCTGGGCATTTAAAATTAACATTATTATTTCTCACCCCCACAAACATTCTCATCATTAACGCCCCCGCAACTGGTGTAGGGAGACCAACACTCATATAAATATTAGCCTATCCATTAAGTACATGTATTTCCTACATGCATACCAAGTTTCAAGTCAATCGGATGCATGGTTCAGTAGTTATAATGGAACATCCGTAAAAACCACTGTAGATTTATATATTAGTATAGATATTTACAAATTATACTAAGAGATTCACTGCAGAATGGCCAGTGGCCTTCGATGTGGCGTGCTGCGATCGCTAACCAACAAGAATTGGTGGTAGACCATAGTATGAGACCGCTACCAGTTCAGTACCATATTGCATATTTCTACCGCGTATCAGTCATGCCGGCTCCAATTACAAGACTAAGCCAACTAAGCTACACAAGCTTAAACCTGAGCTTAGGAAGGGTTGGCATTTGATTTCTATGAGCTCCGGTGACCATTCAACGTCAGGCGGCTCGTGAGCTCGATTGCTTATTTACAGCATTATAAACATTGTTGTAATAAAATATTTAGCGATAATCATAAAACTGCGTGTTATCAGTTCAATAAAAAAAAACTATAAGCATCGCTCTTCAAACTCGGCTAATTGAGTTTGGCTTACAAAACCGAGTGAACGCCGCCACTGGTTGCGACACAGTCGGGTGTCTATCTTGCGCATTGTTGTTGTTACTACGGCTATAATAAACACGGAGCTGCTCCAATCAAATTCAAATCAGTTATATCAACTTAAATCTCATCAAAGCCTACTCATTTGGCGTCACAAGTATCCACTAATAGGGCATCTAAAAAATAGCCACAGAAAATGACAGTTTACGAAAAAGGTGTTATTACGCGGCTTGACACGTCCTGACGGATCTATTAACACAATTATTAGACGCCTGCAGCTTTAGCACTAGGAGCAGGCATAGGGACCCTGATATCCGGCCTTGTCGGACCCGTCAAGAGTTGGACGTGAAACCTAATGCATAACATCAGCTCGCTGAGTTTGTGGCCGGATCTTCTTAATGGGTTGCGATTCCGATCCGATAGTATGCATAGGTAATTTAACAGCAGCTTCTCTCGAGCCCGTACAGCTGTTAACAAATCCTACCCTTCCCAGATTACTTCTGAAATAAACTGGAAAGACCTTTCGGGCAACCGAAAATACTTCCATCCAAAAAAAATACACTATTCGCAGCCTGTATGTGTGCAAAATCATCAACTGTCATTTTCATGATTCAGATTTTTGTCCTATCTGCTTTATTCTTCGGTAGCTACTTCTAAGTCCTGTATATAATATTACTGCGTTCCGTATGTTTGTTTGTGAAGCTGTTTGAGTTGTCACAGTTATTGTTTTTGGGTTTGGGTTTTTGATACAGCAATCTCAAGTTACATACGTCCGCATGAGTTCCCAGCGAATTCAGTTCCAGTTGAAAAGAAATACAGCAATTAACTTAAGAGTTACATCCCAGCCCTTCATCGCACTGGTGCTTCTTTAAAATGTGCGTCAAATTTTATTGAAACAGCTCTTCTTGGGTTTATTAGTTCGAAGACTTTCTTTAGTTATGTAAGATTTGCCCACCCTTCAAATTTCTATGAAGATATTCTCATTGGGGGTACACTATAATGATCATTTTAAAGTAGCCACCTCCCGTACCGGGGAAGGGGCGGTTGTCGGACCCCTGAAACTAACGGAGTTTCTCGCTGGGTATTAGCAGTGGATTACGATGCACTACTCTTGCTAGGAGATTTGTTAGGAAGCTCTTACAGGCCAGTCACAGTTAAGCCAGAATAGCCCCTCAAAGTTGCTGGCAGAGTTTGTCCTGTTTTATTTATTTATTGCATAATTGGCTTGATGAGCTCATAGCCCACCTGAGGTTAAGTGGTTAACGGAGCCCATTGACATCTATAACGTAAATGCCGCCACCGACCTTGAGATATGAGTTCTAAGGTCTCAGTATAGTTACAACGGCTGGCCCATCCTTCAAACCGAGACGCATTACTGCTTCACGGCTGAAATAGGCAGGGCGGTGGTACCTACCCGTGCGGACTTACAAGAGGTCCTACGACTAGTATTTTTGTAGTCATCAAATAAAATCAGAATCAAATTTAATTCGGTACGAACAAAAAATAGTAATCTTCTACCAAGGTTGATACATGTATAAAGTTGTGTAAGATATTGCTAAAATTTTAATAATAAACCGAATTTGAATTCCGACATGTATGAACAAAATTCGAGGATAATGACCTTTACGGGTAAACTAGTTTTGTAAGCTTCCATGGGTTCTGTCTGTTTCTCCCACTCTATTCACACGTCATGATCAGATAAAACTTTTGTGTATAATCTATATATCTATATATATAAAAATGAATTACTGTTCGTTAGACTCGCTAAAACTCGAGAACGGCTGGACCGATTTGGCTAATTTTGGTCTTAAATTATTTGTGGAAGTCCAGAGAAGGTTTAAAAGGTATATAAGTATGAAAATGATCGAAATGAAATAAAAATAACAATTTTGTTTTTCCTTTCATGTATCCCCTCGTCTGACGGATTCCTTTTGTTTGTTTTAAGTTTATTTTATACAAAATTTTATGTATTTTATTTATCGATTGAGGCACTACAAAGTCTGCCGGGTCAGCTAGTACAACATAAATATGAAATCTACTTTATTACTCTATAGTTTGCACACACAAACCCTTATTTCCTGTTAAAAGAATTACAGATGTAAGAAAGAATCAAACTTCAAATAGGCAAAAATGTTGAAGACATACTACGCGACGGCTTAAGAGGAATATTAGTACCACACCCAACTCCATTATGACTTGTAATACTGTTCCATTATCTGGAATGACATATACCAATACTAAGATGCATGTCTGAAGCTAGGTGAAAAAG